TGTGTGTGTGTGTGTGTGTGTGTGTGTGTGTGTGTGTGTGTGTGTGTTTTGAGATAGGGTCTCTCTGGTATGTAGCTCTGGCTGTCCTAGAACTTACTATATAGACCAGGCTGGCCTCAAACTGACAGCGATTCCCCCTGCTTCAGCCTCCAAGTTCTGATATTAAAAAAAAAAAAACCATGTGTCATCACACGTGGCCAAGGTCACAGTTTTTATTTTAATGTGTTTATAATGTTGATACTAGAATTTTTATGTAGAGAAATAATTTATCATTACTTTTGTAGCTCGTTTTCAATTCTTAATTCAGATAGTGTTTTAATCCATTTTCTATTGTTATAACATGGTGTCTGAGGTGTGGGTGCTTGAGAAGAAAAGAGGCTGCTTTTGCTCATACTTACGAAGGTCAAAGTCCAAGACTTGGTGGTTCCTCTGTTTGGTATCCTTAAGATTCCCTTTAACTGTCAAAGCATGTTGAAGGTGTAGAAAGAAGAAAACCTACAAATTGGACTTCGTGGTGAGATAGGAAACCAAGATCAGCCAAGACCAAATTTGCTCTTTTTATGACCAGTTAATCCCGCAAACCTACATTAATCCCTGTGGAGGAGATACCTTGATAACCTAATTGCTCGCCACCTCCACCATTTTGTTAAAAGTTCTACTACTTCTTGAATTACCCACATGGACCAAGTTTCCAGCCTGTGAACTTTTAGAGGGCACACAGCAGCTGTATGCACAGCTGGACGGATGGGCCTGCCTGTGCTTTCTTAGGTTTGTTTCTCTATTCGTAGTCACTCGATGTCACCATCTTTAACTCATCAGAGCTCAGTTAGTGTAATGTGGACATTAGGTGAACTTGGCCTCTGGCCTTATGTTGTGCCTTCTGGCTGTACTGTGCTGGGAGTGTTTCTTAGCTTCTGAGTGCTTTGAATTTTGTCATTAATAAAAGTAAGTGGTGGAGGTGATAGAACATGCCATGTGAGAAACTTGAAGAAGAAAGTGGCTCATCACCAAGTACCTGCAACAGTGCTGGACACAGTAAGCTTACTGAACTAAATGTTAGTTTTTAAATCATTTTATGTACTTTCTGTGCTCTGATTTTGAGTCAAAAAAGTCACAGGTAATTCCTACTAGAGATGTACTTGCCTTATATTCTCACCATTTCTTTTTCAAAGTGTGTTTGCCTGTTCAGAGTTTCTAACAACATTTTCAATTAAAGGAATTAAAGCTTCATTAATTCATTTGGGTAATTCTCTTTATAAAGCTGCCTGACTTTGGTGAAACTGATGATAAGTAATTGTCTTAAATCTTTTATATCACAAGTTAGATTACTAAGTTCCTAATTACCACAGATTTGTCCTTTTTTAAAATTATTTTCTTTCTTAGAAATTCATATTTGATGTTTCTGGGTTAGTAGATGGATTTTAAAAATGTGTTTTTGCCTGCAAAGATTATAGTAATCTAATTTTTATTTCTGTTTTTATAACAGCGTTCTGCGCCAGACATGGTGTACTTAGGATCTATGACAAATTTTGATGTAACTTACAACTGGATTCAAGACAAATGTGTCCCTCTTGTTCGAGAAATAACATTTGAAAATGGAGAGGTATGAACTCAGTGGGGGTGATTTAATTCCGTTGTGGAAAGAACTCACTGCCTCTGTACCAAGCTGTTTAGCAGTTTCCCTCTGTAAGAATCAAACATTGGGCACAGCTGTCTTCATAGCATTTTCACTGGCTCGCACCCTCGCTATTCTAGAATCCTTGCATTTCTAGTCATAGCATAATCTTGAAAATGGATGCCCACAGTTAGGTAAAGATGTCTAAGTGGGTGTCCTTTAGAAGGACACACCTTAGTTACTGTGGGCAGTCCTTTACCATTAAAGGTTTTTCTAGTTCCTGTCTGTTCTAAAAGAATGCAAAAACCAATTGAATGGTGATTCTGAAATCTTTTTCGCTTTGTTCCTGTTCTAAAGTTGAGAAAGAGGGCAGAGTAGACTGCAGTAGTCCACCTGGTGGATGGATGTCTGGTTGTTTCTTGGTTCTCTAGACCTGTGTGTGGTCAGTGTGCTTACCTTTCTTTATTGCCTTAGCTCAAAGGATTGAGCTGGGTTTGTGCACAGAGCTAAGGTGTCCAATGAGCTGATGATGGAATCTGTTGTACTAGGGGAAGGTACAAGCTAGGGCAGAAAAGTACAGAGAGAGAGGCATGGGGAGGAGGGTCAGTAAGTGAGGGTTAACAAAAGATGTAATCCAAGAGAATTGAAGAAAAATGGAATTACCAAAAGATGAATATAATGCCAGGAAATGGGAGTGTGGGAAGATGGAGAGTGAGAGTCTGTAAGGTATAAGGTTATTAGAGCGACGAGTGTGTTCTGGGGGGAGTGATGAATTTTTGCAGAACCTTGTGACTCTAACAGCGGATTGTCCACTTAAAATGGTAGATTTTTGTGGACGAAAGTGACCTCTTAATTCAAAGAAGAGATAATATGATAAGCTTGATTGTTTATCCATATATAATACTGAAACAAGTTTAAATGTGAGATAGGAATCAAAAGGAAGCCTTTTGTATCATGTGATAGGACTCAGGGATTTAAAAAGTCATTATGAAAGGAAAATGCTATGTGTGCTTCATGCTGAGGTGCTTTCTAAATGTGACCCTCAAAAGGACAGCTAATGGAGATGACTACATGAGGGGGACATTTCTTGACTTTTTTATGAAAATAGGAAGATTGCCTATTTGTTTAGATTAGAGGACTCAAATCTACTGTCTCATGTTTCTTATGCTCTCAAATAACAGGAATATAAGTTTTAATCACACTTTGTCATTTTCAAGGTGCATTGTATATGTGCGTATTCAAGGATACATGTAGGGTAGCTGTTTGTTAATAATGTTGCTAAAACTGTCTGTTGGCTGCACATGACTGTAATGTGGAGCTTTATCTTCTGTCCTTAAAGCACTTGTCACCTAGGTTTCACATAGTGGAATGTTTTCATAATACACTTCAGAATAAGCATGGATTTATGATTCAGATTTATTTATTGCTGGCACACTTGTGTTTTCAGTGTGAAAACTGGCAGTTCTAATTAATGTTCATCTCACTCCTGGATTAAGAACTGATTATAGTTCTTTCTTTGCTCACCCTAACTTACCTCAAGAGGCTGCCCTGGTAGTCATATACGCAGTACTGGTTAACCCAGTGGTTCTTAGCCTTCCAGATGCTGTGGCCCTTTAATGTAGTTCCTTGTGCAGTGGTGACCCCAACCATAAAATTATTTCATTGCTACTTCAAAACTATAATTTTGCTGCTATTATAAATCATAATATAAATATCTGATAGATGACCCCTGTGGGCGCTGCTATCCACAGGTTGAGAACCACTGGACTAACAGATTGGCCAAGGACCTTCCAGGTTAATCCATGTCTGTAACAGCAGGGCATGTGTGTATCCTTAGTGCTCATGCTTAAGATACAAATGGTTGATTTTGTTCTTTGTTAAGTCTCATTGTTTTTCACACCATTAGACCCTTTTTCCTGATTACTTGTAACTGTTAGTTACACAGATTGAGTCCACACTTGTTCCACTTTGGAAAGAGCTAAACTGAATAGAGAGGCCACTGATTTTCATCAAAAGCTTCTTTCCACAGGAATTGACAGAAGAAGGACTGCCTTTTCTCATACTCTTCCACATGAAAGACGATACAGAAAGTTTAGAAATATTCCAGAATGAAGTAGCTCGGCAATTAATAAGTGAAAAAGGTAGACTGATTAAGGTGTTTATTTTCATCTTTTTCTCACTATCTTTCTCTTCCTGTGCCTGGTACATATTTGGCCTAAACACACTTATGCAATGGGATAATGCTCTTGTACCCTGTAAAAATTTATCACTTGTATTGGTTTAATAAAACAATGTAGCCAGGCAGGAAATATAGGCAGGGCAACCAGACTAGGAGAATTCTGGGAAGAGGAAAGGCTCAGTCTACAGTCACCACCCAGATGCAGAGGAAGAAAAATGAGAATACCTCACTGATAAAAGGTACCAAGCCATGTGGCTAAACATAGATAAGAATTATGGGTTAATTTAAGTTGTAAGAGCTAGTTAGTAATAAGCCTAAGCTAATAGGTCAATTAGTTTATAATTAATATAAGACTCTGTGTTTCCTTGGGACTGAACAGCTGTGGGACCAGGAAGGACAGAAACTTCCATCTACACACGTAGGCTAAAAGTTTAACAAGTTACTTTAACATGTAGGTTTAGCTATAAGGGCAAGAAAGCAGTGAAGTTATGATGTGAAGCTGTTTCCTGTGTGTATTTGCTTCTGTTTTCTGTACCTTGGCTGTTTTATAGAGGGAAAAAAACCAAGTGACATTAAAAGTGGGTCCTAAGTAAGCAGTGTTGTTTGGGAACCTTTTCCAGTACCTTAGTGTTTCTCTGATACATTTCCAGAGACATTGCTAAGAGACAGTATACTGTGATCCTCATTAATTTCTGTATGAAAGTTGAGCCGTTGTCTGCATTTCTCCACGATATTTTAGTAGAATTTGGGATTATTAAACAGCTTCTTCTCTGTACTGAGGAAAAAGATTGAACAATGTAACTGATGGCATGCTAAAGATTTGCCTGCTTTAGTCATTTACTAAATATTCTAGATTTGAATTAAATTAAAAAAAAAATAGCCAGTTAGGCCACAAGGAGCATGAAGATGGTCCCAAGGGAACCTGTGTGTTAGACTCAGGGACTTGCCGTCAGAATCTAGGGAACCTGCACAACTGCCAATTGAAGAAATAAAAAAGTCACAATAGCATTCAAATTTGAGTTTTCTTATAATTTTTAAGAAGATTATGCTCTGCCCTGAGAACTAAAAAAAATTCTGCTTCTTTTAAATATTCTGTTTAGGTTTTAGTTTCCTGGTCTATATTAATTTCAAGAATGTTGATATTGTTATTATGCTGTTTTAAGAGTTCATAATCAGAGAATACAGTTAAAATTCTAATGTAGTTCTCAAAATTCTGTTTTTCTTTCAAAGGTACAATAAATTTCTTACATGCAGATTGTGACAAATTTAGACATCCTCTTCTGCATATCCAGAAAACTCCAGCAGATTGCCCTGTCATAGCTATTGACAGTTTCAGACATATGTATGTTTTTGGAGACTTTAAAGATGTATTGTAAGTATCTCCTTTTATTCTTTTTAAAATTACTGATACATCCCACAAAGTTGAATATGAAACAATTGCTTGATTATTTTACATAACTGTATATTGTGAAAGTAATACTCAGGGTGGATGTAAATAGTTGGAGTGCTTCATTGTGGGTGTGGCACCAATGACTAGAGAATTACAGATATTAGGGACTGGGAGCTAATCTCTGAAAGAAAGATTGTGTACTGGAGAAATTAGCTTTACTCTGAGGTCGGTCTTTGGCATCAAGGTCCAGATCAGGCTGAGGCGCTGCTGGTAATGTTTGTTTGCTCATGATTGCGTGTTGTAAGAACATTAAGATTATGTTTGTACAACTCAGAATTTTTCTACAACCAGGAATTCCTTTTTTAATTTTTTTTTAATTTTTTTACATGCCAATCCCAGTTTCCCTCTCTCCTCTCCTTCCGCTTCCCCCTACCTTTACCACCACCCCACCTCCCATCCGCTCCTCAGAGAGGTTAGGCCTCTCCTGGGAAATCAACTAATATTGTCCCGGCCCCTTGTTAAGGCAGGACCAAGGTCCTTCTTTCCAACCCCCCACCCATGAACCTAGGCCAAGCAAGCTATCTCTCCATAGAGAATGTGCTCTTCAAAAGTCAGTTCATGCATTAGATTTAGATCCTGGTACCACTGCCAGTGGTGTGGCCCCTTATATTGCCCAAGCCACACCATTGTCACCTGTACTTAGGGGGCCTAGTTCAGTCCTATGCAGGTTCCCCATTTGTCAGTCAGGAGTCAGTGATCTTCCACTGGTTCAGGTCAACTGATTCTGTGGACTTCCCCATCATGGTCTTGACTCCTTTGTTCATATTATCACTTGTCCCTCTCTTTGCCAAAAGCTCGGCCCAGTGGTTAGCTGTGAATCTCTGCATCTACTTTATCTGTTTCTGGAAAAGGATTCTAGCTTCTCTGGGGTTGTGGACTGTAGGCTGACAACCAGGAGTCTCTAATGGCATGTAACAAGAACCTTTCCAAAGACAGGTACTGATAAACATGAAAGCATTATGACTGCTGCAGAGACAGAACTCTTACTAGCTTCCAGGGATGGGAAGTACACTGATGAAAAGTTTGAAGTATTAATATATGAAAATTTTAAGCAGTGCAGTTTAAGTAATTCACACTTAAATATTTCTTGGACAATTCATTTACATTTTCTAAATTTCAAAATACTATTCTGCTGAGAGGATGAATTAGAGTTTTACTACCAAATAAATAATCTCACATAATTCTGAATATTTCAATAGAGATGGGAGTTTCCAGAAGAATCTCAGTTCTGAAACCTGTGTAATGTTGAGTTCTTTCTTGAGCTGATCACTGAACTTCTGTTTCTTCTTCATGCATAAAGTAGGGTTGATCGTTGCCTAATGAGACCTTAGTGCAAATCAGTGAGAGGTGATGTATGTGTTATAAGCCATAAAGTTGTCACAAATACTAGTAGATGGTTGTATTATAAATAATAAAGTATGTCAATGGCCAGTTTTAATTTTACTTACACTCAAAGACTATCATTTAACCTATTAATTCGACTAGTGATTTTCTAAGTCTTCTAAATATAGTCATTATGCCAGATGTCAAGTGTGTAAAATCTACTGTGATTGAGTCTTCTGGAGCCTGAAGCTGGCCCAGTGCTGGGCAGGTAGTGGGACTTCCACCTGTTAGGGATGGTCTAGAGTTTAGATCTGTGGATGCTGGCCTGTTGCCTGAACCCAGTGGACTGGTTTGGAACCTGCAGTCTTGACTGGAGGCTGAGGAGTATGCAGATGTTGGCTGGATCTTAGGCTTACAGAGTAGCCTGAACCCAAAGTTAGTGGAGGAAATAATAAAAACCAGAGCAGAGAAGCTGGAGAGATGACTCTGCCGTCGTCTCTGAGGACCTATGTTTGATTCTCAACATCCATATGGTGGCTTCCAACCATCTGTAAATCCAGTGGAGTCTAATGTTTGCTTCTGGCTTTCAGTGATACACAGGCACAAATGCAGGAAAAACACTTAAAGACATAAATTAAGAAAATAATCAGAGCTGAAACAAATGAAATGGATTCTAAAAACAACAGAAAGCCAATGAAACAAATTTTTTAAAAGATAAATTAAAAAGCTTTTAGCCAGTCTGCAAAAGAAAGACTCAGGTAAATAAAATGAGAAATAGAGGTGTCATTATAAATTATGTCACAGAGATAAAATGGATAAGAGTATCAAATAAAATGAAAAAATGTATGAACATGTTGGAAAAGGGAGCTTGTTGGTTCCCAGCCAACTTAGACCCGAAATAATCACACAGAAAGTGTATTAATTAAATCACTGCTTGGCCCATTAGCTCTAGCTTCTTATTGGCTAACTCTTATATTAATCTAACCCATCTCCATTAATCTGTCTATTGCCACGTGGCAGTGGCTTACTGACAAAGTTTCAGCATATCTGACTCTGGCTGCAGCTCCATGGCATCTCTCTTTCTGCCTTCCTTCTCCCAGCATTCAGTCCAGTTTTCCCCACCTCCCTAAGTTCTGCCTTATCAACAGGACAAGGCAGTTTCTTTATTCATTAACCAATAAAAGCAACACACCACGAACAAATTGATAATCTTAAAAAATGAACAAATTTATAAGATGAATCATGAATAAATAGAATTTGTGTTCTGTTAATGATGAACTATGACCTGAAGTATAAGCTAAAATAAACTTTTCTTCTCGAAGTTATTTATGGTCATAGTGTTTTATCAAAGCAACATAAAGCAAACTTGAAAAAGATCCAAAATAAATTAAATCAGTATGTCAGCGTGATATATTCACTCCCATAATTCATTGCAGCATGTGGATGTAGAATCAGCATCTATATCTACGTCAGCTGAAAAATGGGTAAAGAAATTATCACCAGGAGTACTATTCTCCTGTCAAAGGAGGAGGGAGATCCTGTCATTTGTGATAACATAGAAAACTAGGGGAGATATTAAGTGATATAATGCAGGCACAAAAAGTTAAATTGCATGATCTCACTTTATGAGTTAGTTGATTGCATGATCTTACTTTATGAGAGTGAAATGGTGTTGAACTCAAAGAAATGAGAGTAGAATAGTGGTTGCCCAAAGTCAGAAAAGAATTGAGACAGGAACATGTACGGAAGACTGGGGAAGACTAATCAGACTGCATTAGTTAGCATTCTTACCTTTGTGACAAAATATTTGATAGAAACTACAGAAAAAGAATATTTTAGCTTATAGCTTCAAAGAACTCATAGGGCTCATCCATGGCCAATAGATCTTGTGTGCTTGGGGAAGCTGTCATGACAGTAGGAATGGATAACAGACAGTGCTGACCTCCTATCAGACAAGAAGCAGAAAAAAGGAACAGACTGGGGTTCTGGTCTGCTTCAAGGGTGCAATCCCTGTACTTCTCTACCTAGACCCCATGTCTCAAAATATTGACACGTTGCAAAACAATGTCATCACCTGGGACCTAAGCATTCAAAACCTGAGCCTATTGGGAACATTTCATACTCAGACCTAACAGGGGGCAGGAGAAAACAAGGAACACTTGATGATCTTGATAGTCAAGTAGGGAGAAGTGCAAGCAAAAGGGAGTACTTAACCACAGGATAAAGGTGAAGAAGACAGAAAAGACTGCCCAAATAACTACAAGGTAGAGATGAAACATCTGTTAGATTTGATAGTGTATATTGCAGCAAATTGAAAGTAAAAAAAATTAGAAGTTGTTGTAAGAAACTGGCCTATGAAAAGAATAAGTGAGAGGGGTGGCAATAGTTCCAGAGAGACATGGCTTAAGTAATTTTAGCTCTCTTGGATGGAGAACCTAGACGTGATTAAGTGCTTATGAGGCAGAGTCAAGGGGAGTAAAGAGTAATTGAAATGGGGAAGATGCTCCTCCATGATGCAAAGCAGAGGTCATAAAGGAGATGAGAAAGAAAGGAAAGGGATAAACAGTAGCCTTCTAACTCTGAGAGGAGGGTGTTGCAGAGTTTCTTTGTGGGTGTTTTGTGTCCTGGTGGACTGCAGCAAAAGACTGTTGAAGTTCTTGTTTTTAACTGGCAAGTAAGATCACCTACTGAGAGGGAGGAACTCAGACAGTTGAGAGAGCAAGACTGTATTGGATTTAAAACCTGAGCAGCTTACCTGTGATCCATTTCTCTCAAATCCAGGCATATTGAAAACAAAATCCATATCACATAGAGGGCCCTCAGTTGTGTGAGCATTTTCTATTGGGTGAGATCTGGCCACCCTACCTAGTTGGGAGTCTTGTTTTGCCCTTCCCAAAAAACTGCATGCTCAGGCTGAAAGGATCTTTCAAAGAGAGAGAGACCACTAATGGCTGGGCTTTCTGGGAACTCATAGGCATTGTCTTGACAGTGTTCTATTGCTGTGAAGAGACACCATGACCATGGCAACTCTTATAAAAGAAAAGAAAGCATTTCATTGGAGCTTGGTTATAGTTTCAGAGCTTTAGTCCATTGTCATCATGGTGGGAGTGCAGGGGACGGCAGCATGTAGCAAGCAGTCAGTACTGGAGAAGTAGACCAGAGTTCTATATCTGGATCAACAGGCAGGAGGAAGAGAATGAGCCACTCCAACAAGGCCATACCTCCTAATCCTTTATAGTAGTGCCACTCCTGATGACAAAGCATTCAAATATATGAGTCTGTGGAGGCCATTCTTATTCAAACACCACAGGTAACTGTAAGTAACTGTACTTAGCATTGAAATGCTCCATGACTAATGTGTCATATTTATGAAGTTCACCAGCGCACCTCTCAGCTTCTAGTTGTGAATAGATCTGAGTGTGTGTGTGTGTGTGTATACTTTTGATCTCTTTTTAATGAGATCACAGTCCTAATTATAAAGTCTTAAATTGTTCTTGGAAATGAAGAGGATGCTAACCTTGGTTAGGCCTGCAAGCACCATGCTCAGCTTTTTTCTTTCTTTCTTTCTTTCTTTCTTTAAATTCCTGGGAATATTTGTTAACACATTGTGGGTACCCTCTGCGGGACTCCAGCTTGCTTAAGTCCTGTCCTGCATTTCTGAAGTCAGATTAACACTGGCATTTGAAATCTCATTTTGGAGTCTGAGTCTTGGAGAACCCAAATAAGCACTATCAATCATATTCCTTTAAAAATAATAAATTATTTATTTTGTTTTTATTTATGTGTGCCTTTGTGTGTAATGTATGTGAGAGTTAGTTACACGTGGTTCTAAGCCATGGGTCCTGGGAATCAAACTGAAGTCTACTCTGGAAGAGCAGGAAGAACTCCTAACTATTGAGCTGTCTCTCCAGCCCTGGGATCATAGTCTTTATCACCTCTGCCTGGTTTAATAAGTAGAGCTAATCTGCCAGCTAGTGGCATGTGACGCCTTGGGGAAAGAAAAAAGAAAGTAAATCTGAGCTGATAGGAATCTTCAAAGAAATCTAGCAATGAGAAATGAAATTTTCTATACTGCAAGTGGTGCATGCCTTTAATCCCAGTACTCGGGAGGCAGAGGCAGGTCTGCAGAGCTAGTTCCAGGACAGCCAGGGCTACACAAAGAAACCCTGTTCCAAAAAAATAATACTGCATTTGAAGCTCTTTAAAATAATTCACTTCTTTAATGTCTCCTTTAGGTGTCCAATTTCCCCTTCCTGCTAACAGTTTTTTAATTGGGAGGTGGTACATGCTGTGAGAGCTAAGTGCTGTGCTATATGATGCTAGTGTTAAAATCCAATAGAGCATGCAGCAAGGTGAATCTGACACATTTAATGGCTTGTATAATTGTTATTGTGCCTCCTGGTAATTAGGGCTAAAATGATAAGCGCTTTCCATAAATTACTGTCATTATTATTACTTAATAACTTAGCATTTCTGGAGTCATTTGGTGAAAATGTGACTGTAGTAACAGAAGAGGAATCTACACCTGCCAGAGGTGGCATTAGGAGGTGGAGACTGCCAATAAAATACTTAGTTCTTTTCAGAGAACCTGAGTCTCCTTGAAGTAAAATGATTTGAAGACCACACAGATAACCAGTGGCAAAACTAGGATTTGTATCAAATCTGTTAGCCATGGAGTCCCAGCTCACAGTGCTGCATGCAGACAGTGGCATTCCTGTAACTGTAAGAAGCAGTGGACATGCTAGTGTTTAAAGAGCTAGTACTTCCAAATGGCAAAAATTAGATCCCAGCTCTGTGGGTCTTGGGCTCCTGTGTGCTGGGCAAATGCTCACCAGTAAGCTGTTCCTTTAGCCCCTTTCTCCTTTTCTAATCTTGAGGGAGGGTTCTCTTGTCCAGCGTTGGCTAGAATTTGTGGTTCTCCTGCCCCAGGTTATTATTAGCTAGGAGTTCAAGCATTTGCACCATGCCCAGCCTGATAGAACTTCTTAAAAGGCACATTTTGTTTATCCTCTACTGTTTTTATTTTATCCCTTCTTACTAAGTTGACTGGTATCTTAGTCAGTGTTCTATTGCTGTGAAGGCAACTCTTATAAGGGAAAACATTTCATTGGGGTGGCTCCTTTCAGCTTAGAGATTTAGTCCATTGTCATCATGGCAGTGTGCAGAGAGAAGGAGCTGAGAGCTCCATATTCTGGTTCATAGGTAGCAAAGGAACTGTGACACTGGGTGTAGCTTGAGCATAGGAGACCCCAAAGCCAACCCCCACAACAGCTCTGTGAGTTTAAAGATCAGCCCAGCTACCTGCTGAGGCTGTCTCAAAAACAACAAAACAAGTTACAGGACTTAAGTTTAAAAAAAAAAGAATTATCTACTATGCATCAGTCTTTGAAAATAATAAAGCTAGTTTCTACTTTGTACGCTTGTCAGAGAGTAGTCATCATATACTTTTGTGTGTGTGTGTGTGTGTGTGTGTGTGTGTGTTTCACTGGTCTAAAAGTAAGGCATTGTAAACCAGAGGTTTAGAGGGTAGGAGAGGCTTAGCACTCCGCTCTTAGTATCCAATTAAGACTGAAATGAAAATAGGGTTATTTCTTGTGCCAGTCTTCTCGCTTGTTTCCACGCTGACTACTCTAACAATTTATTGCTCATTCACTGGTTGTCCCTTCCTAATACTGACAGATCCTTTTTGAGTATGTGCTAGCTAAGAGTTCTTCCCTAATCCATCTCCTTCCTGGCCTCTGTCTTATGCTCACAGTTCTTTCTTTCCTCTTGTCATGACAAGAGGATAATTCTGAAGGCCAGGGAGAAACCTGTCTTGAGTGTTTGTCACATTTGGGATTTACTCCTTCATAAGGTAGTCCTTGACTAGAAGTAGTTCCAATGGTCTTAGGAACTTATAAAGAAGCCAGCAGCATTATCTCAGGTGTGGTAGAACATTCGGAATCTGTGGCTTGAATTTTATACTTCATCACTTTGCTGTAGGGTGACAGAAGATGATGTCAGAAGCAATGTAAATTGATCTACTTTCAGTGTTTACCTCTGGTGTACATGCAATTACTTTTGCACCAGAGAACCTTTGCAAGGCATTCTGTCAATACAGCTACCTGACAGTCATTTGTATTTGTAAACTGTGCATTTGGCACCTGCTGGTCTCTACTGCATTGGAGCTAGTGGGGAGCCAGCATGGTGTACAATGAAATTATTGGTTGGTACAGCTCAGTGGGAGTTATTGAAGGGGGCGAAAAACAACCAACCAAAACAGCACTTCCAGGACCTCAGGGTAGAATTTAAAAAGAAAAAATAAAAACTGGTAATCTTAACTGGTAATGTTTGCTATGCAAACAAAACAAAAATATTAAAAAGTCAGTCTGCTGTACCCAAGGAACTAAAGTATGTATGGTAGTGCATTTTAATTTTTGTGATAGATATAAAAAACAATAGGTTTCTATTTGAAGCATATAATGAATGTTCCAAAGCACAAAAATCTCCATAAAAGGCAGGCAGTTCATTTGCACATAAGTATAAATTAAGCAATGACAGGAAAACATTCAACTTCTCAAGAAATGTAAATTAAAATTCTGCTATCTGTTACTTATCAAATTAACAAATCAACTTCGGTTTTAAAAAATTGTGTTGGCGAAGGCTTTAGAATGGAAATCAATGGGTAGCAAAAATTGATTGGCCTTATAGGTATCATTTGTTCCTATGTTATTGGATACAAGTCAAGGAAATAATTTTATAGAAGGTCTGCTTTGTAAGTCTGCTTTGCTCAGCATAGTATGGACCACCTCAAAAGAGGGTTGTATTTCAGGGCTGATCCACAGGCTCATGCTGGGTTCAAATTCTGTGAGATGTTGGATGGTGCTCTGGTTATAAAACTGAATACTTTTACATAATTGTCCTCTAATTATATTTTTTCCCTTTGAATTCCAACATTTTTAGTGTGGATTTGGAGAATATAAGTTTTTTGTTTGTTTTATGAGTGTGTGTGTGTATGCTGCTAAAAGTATATACATTCACAGATACACACACACGCGCGCGCGTGTGCACACATCAGATAATTATCTGAAGGATGATAAACACATCTGGGATACAGCATTTTCATAGCATCACCTTTGTTAATGGTAAGGATAGAAAAATGTCTATGAAACAAGTACAATGATTAGAACGTAGGGGATGAGGAAGTAGTTCAGCAGTTGAGAGCCCTGGCTGCTCTTGCAGAGGACCCAGTTGGTTTTCAGCACCTACCTGATTGCTTCCAACCATCTATAGGGGATCTGATACCTCTTCTAGCTTCTGCAGACATGAGGCACTAATGTTGGTACATACATGTAGGCACTCACACATATACATAAAATAAAAACTAAAAAATTAGAACCCCAAACTAGTATCTAGCTGACTGTAGTAGTTGTGGTAGAATTGGTGGATAGAGTCATATATTTCTTTAGAGCACTGTGAAGTTGATAAACTAGAGGTCAACTGGTTTGGACAGTTGAAGCTAAATAATTATTTGCCTTTGTTTTTAGAATTCCTGGAAAACTGAAACAGTTTGTAATTGACCTACATTCTGGCAAACTGCACAGAGAATTCCACCATGGACCTGACCCAACTGACACAGCCCCAGGAGAGGTAGGACTTATGTGTTTGCCAGGGGGAATCTTTTCTGAGATAGCCTCAGAGGGGCCTGAGCTAGAGTTTCAGCTCCTGTTACCTCTGTAGAAATCCTGAACTGAATATGTTATAACATATTCAAGTTATGCTTCTTTGAAGTTACTTTTTAAAATGTTGGCCTCTAGAAAAGTTGCAGAGTGTTGTCTCTAATTTCTCCATCATGTGAACTTGGGTAGTCTATGATTTCTGGGGCACAGTGTTAAAGACTGTTAGCTTCAACTAGAAGTAAGAAGTAGGACTTGGGAGCAAATGAACACACAATCAGTGGGTTCCAGTGGTTGTTCCTGCTTGCTCTTGAGTGGACATGTACCCTTCTGTAAGGAAGTGACGGTTGGTTGTTTCCCTCATCCATCCTAAGAACCTTCACAGGTGCAGTATTGATAACACTCAATATTAGTACTCAGTGCAGCTTTCCTGTTTGATATTTGAATGCTTAATAACTATTCATCGACATTTTATATTAGCTTTTATTCACATATAATTCTTAATTGAAGTGTTACTATATTGACTGGTGAATAGGTAGATAAACTGTCAGAATGGATGAATGCCTGAGAATTTTATTATTTCTACTTTGTAACCTTTATTACAAGTAATTTCCATGTTCCTCCTTTTTGAAAGAATCCTAAATGTGCATGTTGATGTGTTATTGTTTATAGTAAGTCTGTGACATGAAACTAAGAGAGAGATGATGTACATTAAACCCCCTGTTCTATATGCCAGGACTTAAGTCTGCTGCTTGTCCAAAGAACTTGTATTTATCAAAGAAAAAGAAAAACTAAAATTTTCCCTATCTTATATGGGAGTCAGATTAGGTCCAAAGTCAGGAGTTCTCTTGGGAAACTGATACTATGATTCATTTGAGAAATGAGGACAAATTTTTCCTTGATCATTAAGCTACTATTAAAGGGGGGAATTCTGCTAGTGACAGTTATCCGAAGGTCATTATTTTCTTCGGCCCACAAAGTTTGCTCGTTACTCTATACCAGTGTTCTCAACCTTCCTAATGCTACAGCCCCTTAATATAGTTCCCTCATGTTGTGTTGTGGTGACCTTGACCATAAAATTATTTCATTGTTACTTCACAACTGTAATTTTGCTACTGTTATGAATCATAATGTAAATATCCTATATGCAGAAAGGTCTTAGGTGACCCCTGTGAAAGAGTCATCCGACCCCTAAGATGCTGTGACCCACAGGTTGAGAATGACTGCTCAAGAAAAACATCTAGTTTACCATATTGTATTATCCTGATTTATTTCACTTTCTCCTTTAAACAATGTTTTATTTATCTATGTATTTTATTCATATTTTTGTGCTAAAACCAACTGGGTACAAGATACTGTATGTGTTTATAGTAATTTCAGCTTGTATGTATTTCAGCAGAAAATACTTTTGAGGAGGTGCAATCTGGCAAAGTCAAATAGGTGGAGGCATCTCCCACTTTCTGTTGTCATGCACATGCTGATCTATTACAGAATGTCCGGGGTGTGTCACATGCCGTCCGCCGCAGGGACTGTCCCGTGGTGAAGCTGTAGCTCTTGGGATGCTGGCAGAGTGACAGTGGCGTGCCGACTGTGCTGCTTTTCTTCACAGTGTGTGGAGTCACTTGATAGTTCCCGGGCTTTGTCTCCTTTTGGCACACGCGTATTACAGAGGTCCATTATAGTATTGAGTCTTTTTCTTCATCACAACCAAGTTTTACTGATTTCTGGCATTGAGATAGTTGATTAAATAGCAGCTTTATTTTTTATTTTATTTTATTTATTTATTTATTTATTTTTGGTTTTTCGAGACAGGGTTTCTCTGTAGCTTTGAAGCCTGCCCTGGAACTAGCTCTTGTAGACCAGGCTGGCCTCAAATTACTGCCTGCCTCTGCCTCCCAAGTGCTGGGATTAAAGGCTTGCACCACCACCGCCTGGCTTGTAGCGGCTTTATTGGCAGAGTAGGGATTGTTTGTGTCAAGGTCATCCCTCTTAGCAGTGTGTAGAAGAAAAAGGTTAGGGCCAAACTGGTTCTCTAGGAAGCACTGGGTGTTGGTATTTTGTCAGTGACCTTGTGGCAGCCATGCCCTGCACAGAGTAGGGGCATTTGTGTGAGGAAACAGGATCACAAACTTAATGCTTTGGGATATTCTTTTTGTCTTATTTGTTAATAACCTAGTAATTACAAGGCCACTGCCAATCATGTAATAGTAAAGTATGATAACTCCATAAAACATTTTGGTATGAAGATTCTTTTCTTTCTTTTGTAGCAAGACCAGGATGTTGCAAGCAGTCCTCCAGAGAGCTCCTTCCAGAAGCTGGCGCCCAGCGAGTATAGGTACACTTTACTGAGGGACCGGGATGAGCTGTAGAACTCCAGCCCCGCAGGCCTTTCGACAGCAGCGTTGGCTGATGTGGTGGAAATAGTAAACCTATATTTTCATAATTCTATGTGTATTTTTATTTTGAATAAACTGAAAGAAGTTTTGGGTTTTTAATTTTTTTTTCCTCCCCCTGACTCAAATGCATTGTCATTTAATACAGCCTCTTTTTAAAAAATCTGCTAGGGTTTAAAAAAATAAAATAAAAACCAGAGGCCTATCTCCACTTTAAATCTGTCCTGTACAGTTTTTATAATGTAAGCGGAAGGTGGCATTGCCAGAAGCATACCGTTAACTCACACTAGCACTGCAGAGGCCAGGGACTAGGCCTGCTTCCTGTGTGCTGTATGATTTCCTTTCTGCTCTTCTTCTCACATGATCAGGTCTACTGGTGTTTTCTTATCGCAGTTCTGAAAGCTAGGGGGATATATACTCTAGAGACCAGGGAGGGGAATAAATTAACATTTTCACACTGTGTACTGTGTTGTACTGATTGGCCGAGCATTACTTATGAAAATTCCATAGTGGTTCTTCTTGGATTCCTAATGTGCAACTTAAACATACTCTGAAGAGGAGGAGAGCCATAAGCCAGAGCATTTGGCAGAAATGGTCCTTATGAATTAAGAAAGAAGAAATGGAAGTATTATTAAATTTCTATGTGTTTTTCTGAGAAATCGGCATATGGCTGGCATTTAAAACTTTGAACGAATTAACCCTGAAATCGAGAAAGTAGAGACACCAGCGGAGCAGGTTATTACTGTGGAACTAGCAACTTTTAAGGCTCTTTCTGTCTAGAAATTTCCATTTTCAAAAAGAAACTGTATTTCAATTATTGTAAGCCTCTTTCTGTCTTTTGTAGTTTTGTTATAGTTATGTAGATCAAAGTGATGAGGAACACAATGTTTTAAATTCTTCTCCCATTTTCAACTATTGTGAATTGTTAGAGGGCCTCCCCTCTAGCTTTCCTGATTTCCCACGCAATGAGACGGTCCCTGCTAGGCCTCAGTTCTGTCAGGAATCCCAGTGCCAGAGGTCCGCCAGGCTCAAAATCTGCTTTCCTCGGGGCCTGGGTGTGGTGCTATAGGCCAAGGGTCATTCGTCCTTGGGAGATCAGTCAGTCCCAGTTTGGGGAGATCATTATTTTTAAGCTCTAAAGGTTGACATGTGCCATTATATGTAGTATGTGATATATGTAACGTCTTTCAAACCTTTTAAAATAAAATGAATATTTATAATGGATATTTAATAACTGTTATTTTTAAAAATAAGCTTCTAGTTCTTAATTATGCATGATTTTGTCCATAGTTTCTGTAGTTTTATTCGGAATAATAAATATTAATGAGGTTATAAGGGGCATGTTTAGAATATTTTGCCAGATTGTGGCTGGAAAACTAGACAGAGCTTTCTTGAAACTAGCCTTTATTCTGTCACTTTATTGCTGTTAGTCAGTGTCTTGAATATGATCATAGTTGTTGTTTTCAGCAATGAGACTGACCAAATCTGAGGGGTTCAGAATGAACACTCACAGGTATACTACAAGGCTTCCATACAAGCTCAAAACAACACAGAAAGAATGAGCTGTAACAAATTGTGATCCTGTGATTGGGTTTGAAAAATAATAAAAGATATCACTCAAATACTGGACTTCAGACAGCTAGCTGAGAATAGTTATTAGAAAAAAGACCGTAAGGAACACATCTTCAGTGTGGCCTAAAATGATGGGGGAGGGCTGTTTAAAGTGGAAGACTCCGTGTGTTGTATAGCATTCATACATATCAGAACTTGGGCTGTAACCCTTCGCTGGATGGTGAAGCCATTAAGGACAGTGACTCTGCACATTGTGTCTGCAGCTATCAGTTTGGACACTTAAGTTGTCGTCTATAAATGTTTATTGAAATGATAAGAAACAAAGTGGCCTCGTAGTTTTGATACCATGGAAAGTGCTCGGCACTCAACAGGACTTAATGACAATTTATAAAAAGTTCTTTACAAGTTCAGGTGCATTCCATGAAGATAATGTAGAGTAATAAAATGTTTTAAGACATAACTTTTGAGACTGTTTTTAGTCAGGTAGTGGTGGTGCACACCTATCCCAACACTCAGGAGACAAGGGCAGGGAGATCTCTGAGTTAGAGGCTCATCTGGTCTACAGAGCGAATTCCAGGACAGCCAGGGGCTATCAAAAAAAAAAAAAAAAAAAACAAAGACTTTTTCTTAGAATAAACATGGGTGAGAGTAGTCTAGATATTTGAAGGGTTGGCATTGTCTGTCTGGATCCCAGGGGTTGAATTAGGGTTGGAGGAATTCACAGAGGAGCAGTTATCAGTTGACAGTTACTCAGAGTAAGCTTTTAGATGCTGCAACTTTTTACTTAAGTTTATCAGACCATATGAATTATCACTGTAGCAAGCAATTTCAGATTAAACATAGGAAATGGAGGGAATGTGCCTGGCATAGAAGCCCTGAGTTACAAACATTCCATTGAGATTATGCTGGGATTTTAAAAGCTGACTACCTGAAAAGAGGTAGGATCTGTCGTGGCTATGAGAACGTGAGACAGCATGATGTTCTAGGAACAAGTACTCCGAGGAAGGCTAACTCCCTGGAGGCTGGCTAATGTGAGCACGTGGCTCAGGACACTATACTGCAGGTCCTGGGGATCCTTATTTGAAAATGGATACTACAGAGGCAGGTCTTAGACTTTACAATTCCGCCTGAACAATGTCAGTGCTGCAGAAGTTGCCTCAATGTACTCAGTCTACTGAGCCTTAGACTTCTCAGCTGAGCTAGGAAGAATGCCAGACTGCACTGGAGGCTGGCTGAATAAGAACCGGAAGCCAGACTTCCTGCTCCTCTGCCAGGATGATGAAACAGACATTCACTGGCCTCTGGCCTCCGTGTCCATGTGTATGCTGTACACACACAGGTATGACAGGCATGCAAATGAATGTATAAGGTAGAGAATGATCATCTCAAGTGTCTTGTGGGAAACTTACTGATGAAGTCAGTTTGTCAGAGGTCGTGTGCAAAAAGAAGGCGAACTGGCGTGATTAAAGCTATCAAGGGGCATATGTTTGAAATGGGAAGGCTCGGAATGAGCTCAAAAGAAAGTGTTAATGTTGCCCAAAACCTTTGAAGAAAAAAATGCATTAAGGCCAAAAAGAATGGGTAATGGATTGATAATCAGGAATACCATAACAGCTCAATTTTTGTCTTCAACAGATATAGTCTGCTTGATCAAAAGTAAAATGACATAAAACTTAAATGTGTGCACACACACAAACAAACAAGAAACTTGTTCCGTTAAATTATTATACCTTAAGGCTCTTGGCCTATACCTTGTATCACCCAGCAGTGCTCTCTATTAACAACTATTGGGACAGTCTGAGCAACCAGGATACACGGTTAACTGGGCACAGTACTTCAGTTTTCAGAATGATTGTAGTTTGCGGCATTAGGCTGTTGTACTGGATAAAGTCGTATGAACAAAGTGAAATGCCAGTTGTCTGTTGGGGAAGCATTAGGTAGTTCTCAGAGCTGGTGAGAGCTGAGCAGAAGCTCCTCCAGGACCACTCACTGCTGGCCGTATTGGTTTATGTATTCATTAAAATAGTTTGTAGGACCTCTGCTTAGCAACTTTTTTAGCTGTGTGTGAAATTTTGTATGTATTTCCAAATAATAAAACTATATTTGTAAAATACTTCTATATTTGAGACTTTTTACTATTTCATAAGTACTGTGTTACGAATGTTTTACTTGGCATCTAGATGACCAGAGTTGGAAAAGATGACTTTTCGAGGTTCGATGTTATTTTCCAGTTCATGTCCAGTGCCTGATTTGATTCGGAATGGGGACTTGTGAGTTCCAGTGTAGTTAACGCAAGCCCAGCTTCAGTTGATGTGTCCGGGTATTCTTAAGAACAATGGGAAAGGTAGAACTGGCCTTAGACAAGAGAGGACCCTGGGAAAGTGCTGTTTCAAACTGTGTCTCTAACATCTCACTATCCCCACATAGGCACACCCTTGTCTAGTAAATCCGCATAGTAAGTGTGTAGGGCAAGTGTCATCTCCTGGTTAGTCTTTTTACACAAGTCTAGGAAGAGGAACTTCAGTTGAGAAAATGCCTCTATCAGATTGGTCCGTAGGCAAGCCTGTGGAGCACCTGTGGAGCTTTCTTGATTCATGATTGGTTTGGGAGGGCCCAGCCCACTGTGGATGGTGCCTCCCTTGGGAAAGTAGGTGGTTCCTGGGTTGTATAAGAAAGCCAGTAAGCACCACTCATTCATTGCTTTTGATTCAGTTCCTGTCTTGGTTTCTGCCTCAGGTTCCATTCATAATAGACTAAAAACTATAAGCTAAAATACATAAACTCTTTCCTCCCCCAGTTGGTTTTGGTCATGGTATTTTGTCACAACAATAGAATTCAATCTATACACAACTCCTATATCCTTGTAGTCTTTTGTGTATCCTTAGTTACGCGGTTAGGAGTATGTGTGTTCCCCTTATTTCCATGTGCATACAGGTGATAAGGAAAGGAGGAGAGCCATTTCTATTCCAGCCCCTTGATACTTAGAATTCAGCAGGTCTCTGATGGGAAACAGAAAAGCTAAAGTACAGAGCAAGCAAGCAAACAAAGGCGTCAAGGACAAGAAATTGTCCCTATAGTTGGAATGGATTCTGATAGCAGATCTCTGTATCTCCATTATCTTATTTAGTCAATTACAAATATCCTACAAATGAATCTGTCACCTTCAGTCCTACCTGCTAAGTCAGCTACAAACTCCAAAGACTGCCAAAAAATAAAGGTTCACAGTGCCCACCCAGCTAGAGATATGTAACTATCAGAATGGTTGCTGTCTTGGCAACACAATGTTGAGTACTGAAATTTTTCTCCTACCTCCACATTTTCTATAAGTTAGATCTGACCCCAATTTAGTCAACCACTTTTAGGCAATGAGTTAGTTGACAAAACTGCTGTGGTAAGCCATAAGTTTATCAGTCAGTAAGCATAAACTACCATCTCCAGGCTAAAGATTCAGCATTTAATAAACTCCCCCAACCTGGACAAATTGACCTCCATAACAAAAGCTCCAAAATTCTCAAGGCCAGGCATGTGGGTGCAGGTCTTTAATCACAGTATTGGAAGGCAGAGGAGTACATCTGTTCTACGCGGCATTTTCCAACTAGACTACTCCTAGGTACGCAGCCGAAGGACCATGAAGTGTATGTACTTGAGAGAAGCGAACCGTGTAGTGTATGTACATCAGAGACATTTGCTTCTCCATGTTGGTTCCTGCTTTGTTCACTGGGGCAAGGAAATGGAATCAGCTTAGATAAGCATCAACACATGAATGGGTAATTAAAATGGGGCTCATATACCCGATGAAATTTTATTCAGCTGTAAAGAAAAATGAAATTCTGTATTTTGCAGGAAAACAGGATTTTTTTATTAAGTGAGGTAACCCAGGTTTGGAAGGACAAACATATTCTCTCACATGAAGATCTTAGCTTCTAATTTTTATATATGTATATTTATGAGAATGAGTATGGGTAGATGCCAGGAAACTGGGAAGGGGCCCATGAGAGAGGTGGGTAAAGAAGTCTTAAGGGAGAGGAGTGGAGAAGGGTAATGCTAGGAGTGAAGGGTTTCCACTGGCATGTGGGCAGGGACATGGGAGACAGGAGGGTGTGTGGGAATGTCAACCAAAACCAAGTGTGTGTGGGAATGCCATAACGAAACCTGTTACTTTGCATGCTAAAATAAAAAATTTTAAGTATGCGTAGCCTGTTACCACCATTTGTCTAGAGGAGAGGGTATATCCACTTACTCTTAAAATCCAACTATTTTCTCGTCTCTGTTCATTTTAGTGTCACCCAATACTGCTTTCACTATTCTTATAGATACACAACACGTTTATATTAATGCACATGGTTTTTATTGCTGCGAAGAGACATCAGGACCACGACAATTCTTATAAAGGAAAACATTTAATTGAGGCTGGCTCACAGTTCAGAGGTTCAGTCTATGACTCTCGTGGCAGGAAGAATGGCGGGATGCGAGCAAACATGGTGCTGGAGGGGTAGCTGAGAGTTCTATGTGCGGATCAGAGGACAGAAAGGGGAGAGAGAGAGAGAGACTGGGACTGGCTTGACCTTCTGAAACCTCAAAGCCTACCCTCATCCCTATGAGTCTTTGGTGGTTATTCTCAATCAAACCACCACACTGGAGAAAATTATAGTAAATGCTGTAACTGTAGTCACTAATAGTTATAGTTAGTCTTAACCAACCACCATTCTGGGCATAACATACACATCATTTTAAACACTTAAGGTCACTCTGTGTTATAGGCAAGGAGGTATCAAAGGAATGGTCTGTAAAAATGTAAAAAGAAAAAAAAAAGCTGTTGACCCAACCCTACCCTTTTGTGAATAAGACTCACAGAGACAAGGGAACTATAGCGTCACTATCAGGTTCTGTCAAGAGAGGCTGTTTGGTGGAGTTTATGAACTTTAGCATCAGAAACCTGGATTCAGCTCCTGTCGAAGTGTGTCCCTCTTAGCTTCAGCCTTGCTGTTGCCTAATTCCATTCTCTGCTTGCCCAACAAATCCTTTACTCTCCTTCAGCTACATCCTATTTCAATACTAGTCTGTATTGTAAATCTCTTAGGCCCTGTGATGATTAATACTGCCAAGCTGATAAGATCTAGTATCACCAGACACCCAAACACGCCTCTGACCATGTCTGCAAGGGAGTTTCTAAATTAGGTTAATCTGGGCTGTACCATTTCATGGTTTGGGGTCCCGGAGTACATGGAAGATGCTAAGTGCCAGCATTCATGACTTTTCCAGCTCCAGATGCAATGCCAATAGCTGCTGCCTCAAACTCCTGGGACTGGGGCAAAATAAACCCTTGTTTCCTTAAGTGCTTTTGTTATTTGTCTCAGCAACAAGAAAAGCAACTAATGTAGACCCCTAGTAATCCTACAATCCAACTGTAAAACAGTAGATTGAAAAAAAATTCCATGGCACTTTTGCTGTGATGGAGATCCGAGATCTTTCTTCCTGATCAGGACTTTTAATCAGACAGAGAAATGTCTTCACCTCCAAATTCAGGAATCTTCCTGACATTCCAGTGCTTGATGTATTTCCCAGATTACTTCTCTTGACTCTTGTATCCCTCTTAATGGCAAAAGTGAGCAACCATGTCCTAGCTATCGCATATATGTTACACACCTCCAAAGTTAGGACTCAAATACTATGGCTGCATTTCATGTGTTCATGCTATTCATGCTAAAAAGAAAAAAGAAAAATATTCAAAGATAGAAACAAATGTATGGTCACATCCCAAATGAAGCTTCCAGTCTAATCAGAGAGGGCCTACTACCACTAAAGAGAAAAGTTCAACTATGAAGAATTCAACTCTGAAAAAACCTACAGGTGAAAGTGGAGAAATGGGAGCTAGTGAACAGCATCTGTCAGGAAACATGAGCATGGCAAACTAGCCTGGAAGGGCCTGGGCACTAAAAGGTAAGTTCCATGGCTTTTCTCCGCAGGTTTCCAATAAGTGTTTATGGAAGGAATAATCACCACAAAGTAAGCATTCAGTGTTAAACAGGGGAATCTCACAAATGAGAGGTGAGAAAGGAAGGCGACTACACTAAATACACCAAAAGCTCTGGCCACTATAAGGAACATTTCTGGCAACAAGGGGACCCTTTCACAGCAGTTACCTGAGACTGTCAGAAAATTCAGATATTTACATTATGATTCATAACAGTAGCAAAATTAGTTACTACATAGCAATGAAAATAATTTTATGGTTGGAGGTCCCATTAGGAAGGCTGAGAAGCACTAATCTGGAGTAAACAAAGAATTACTATATTTTAGATATATATTGCCACTCTCCTGTGTCCCCCTCACCAGCTTCATTGTTAAGTCATCCATTCAATTCCCTGCTTTCTTGTTATTAACTCCTTGATTGTTCCCGTGTCATTTTACATTTCATGGATTCCCACTCACTTGAAACTTAAAGCCCCTCTTCCATCAGGCATATTCTTCCTTACGTACTGCTCAAACACTGAGCTCTGCAAAGCCTTCCCATTTGTTTCCAGTTATCCCTTCACTGAGGCCTCTAATACTTTGTCCATCTTTTTCCTGGTGCTTAGCATGTTTTGGTGTGACATACCCACTCCAGGTAACTTCAGGGCTATGATAGCATCTACAGATCTTTCTTTCTGTATATGACACTATCATTCAACACACAACAGGAAGCCAGTTTAATGTTTGTTAAGTGGGTGAATTTTTATTGCATATTTCCTTATTCAAGCACCATTCAGCAATGTAATAAACGACAAACCAATTCAGGAAGAACTTAATTTTGCAGAGATTCTTGCCATTTAGCCTTCCCTTGTCCTTACCTTGCCAACATGTTAAAGAGGACTCCTGTGCGTTGGCTGCAGAGGCACAAGTGCTGAGACTGACACTGCGTGGAAGGCTAAGAAATCACAACTGTTTTCCTCTAAGAGCGCGTCTTTCCATTTTGCCTGATTTGGACCACTGAAGTGCAGAGAATCTCCAGCAGGCAACTTGACATGGCATAATGAAACCTAATAAAAAACACATGGAGGATCTCCCCACACTCCCATATCATTCTCTTAGATCTTACACAAAGTAGCTTTGTGGTCTTGGGCAAATCAATGGCCAATGTTTTCACTGTAATATATTTGTTTTGGTTAATATTGCCCAGGAGCATTTTTGTCATAAACTGATTTCTTTGATGGGAGCAATGTAGATACGTAACTCTTACTATTGGTTATCGACAACACTCAAGACTTTGTGAAAAGGTGTCAAACTGATGAACCCAGATAGAACCATTTGCTAGAAACACAGGTGTTAACAACAGTTATAAAACAGAGTCAGATGCTTATAACCCCAGAATTTGGGAGATGGCAGCAGGAGGATCACAAATTCAAAGTCGGCCTGGCTACCAGTAAATCCCTATTTCAGAAAAACAAAAACAAAAGCAACCCCCCCGCCACACACACAGAATCTGAATGTGTCTTAAGAGTGGGTTAGAGAAGCACCCTTGCCTTGCTAGACCTCCACCTACTTGGGAATGTCATCAGATCCTGTAAGCACCTGAGAACCACGGCCACATTCTAATCTATGTTGAGAAGACATTGCATGTACAGCAGGCCCTTGCCCCCGGCTTTCCCTCCTCTATCCTGAGTCCATGTGCTTTCAGTGAAGGGCTTAAGGGACTCTTCTGAAAAATGCCTTTGCTTACTAACTAGTCAAAGGATGGTTTGACTTCTGGGCTTTTGCTGGAAGGAAATACTGTGTGCTAGATATTTGCAGTTCGGTTTCAAAACTTCTTGTGAACAGTAGGTGTTATCAGCATCCCATTCTCACGCTGCAGTAAACAGCATGGAAGGGAGACAGGCAGAAGGACATTTGTGGCCATGCAGGAGTTTCGGGTAACCCCAGTCCCTGCTCCAGATGTACGGCCAGGTCTAGGCAGCTTCAGCATGCTCACTTTCTAGGCATATTAGGTGTCTGGCTTCTGTGTGTGAGGTAGGATAGTAAGCCACCAAGACACAAAACTGAGTTGGGGAGAGAGCAGGGTCGCAAAGGCATGGGAAAACAGCCTGTGTCTTTTCTTATGTGATGTACAATTCTTTGGCGGCAAATCCAGATGTTCCAGATGTTGTGGCAGATGTTCAGAAATAGCCTAAGTGTTGTTACTAGCACCCTACCATGTGTGCGTGGCTTCCCAGGGGCATCATTTAAAGAATAATGATCAATTGATTCTAAAAGCTATGAGATTTATTTTTAAAAGTACTGTTTATTTTTAATTATATAAGACACTTTAAACAATGATCATAACCTATGATATAAACCAATGTGTAGAAGGTGGGGCAGGAGAGTGGCACTCTTCATTCTATACTTGAGTATAAAACAGAACACAGTGCAGTGCTGTGTTCTGCCATGGCCACAATGAAGAGCAGGCTTTGGACACCTGGTGAGGCACAAAAGACAAAAAAGCAAATGAACAGCAAGGGTTGTTCACAGTTGGCCTTACAGTCGCCAGGCTTCCGGTGAGGCAGTGCAGCATAGCCGAGAGCCCGAGCACCAACAAATCCAGTTCCATCCCAGTTTCCTCCTTTGGAACTGAAGGACTGCATAGTACTTAATTCCTCCGAGGCCCAGTTACCCTCTCCATAAATGCCTGCTAAAGCGCCTGGCTAACTGCTTAGGAAACACCAGTTCTTCTGTAGGGAGGTTTTCTGAAAACTGAGGGTGCCAATTGATTTGTAGACTGAGATTGGTTTAGTGGACTTAGATTTGTAGACTTAGATTGGGTTGAAATCAATATGTTGAAAAACAAAACATCAAAATGTATTCCACATAATGAGAAACATTTTTCATGTATATATGTTCAATTTTAATACTTTTTTTTACTATGGGTTACACCAAAATTTCAGAGAAATTCTCAGATTATAACATCAAAAAGAGTATTTAGGAGTGCTACTGTTACTGAAATGAGTAATTTTATGTAAAATCTACAAATTTTACAACCTTAATTAAAATGGTGCTTTTTAACTGGTTGAAATAAAAATAAGACATAAATCATACAGAAGATAAATTTAACTTGACACTTCTGTGTCATATTGACTAATTTATACTTTTAAGTACTTTATATAATTTATAGTTGATTAAAAACTTCTAAGCAATTTCCACAAAAAGTTATTGTAGGGAAATGAGGTATAATTTCTAAGTAATTCTAAAATATAAAATTTTAAAGAAGACTGTAAGTTCCTTAAGCATTTAGACGGCTAGAGTCGAAAGCCTAATACTGACCGTTGATGATCATGTCAACAGTTCCCACACTGGCTCAGTGAAAACGCAAAATCCAGAAGATGCGGGTTTTAAACGCAAGCCTCACCCTGGTTCTTCGTGCTGTGGCTATTATGGCACACGGACTGAGTGGCCCTTTGGGGACTGGCAGAATAAGTACTAAGCAATGAGGAAGATGATGTAGAACACGGGAGATTAGACAATGAGACAACATTGCTTATTCTGAGAATTCCAGCTAAGCAGGCTGGACTGGCTGTATCAGAATTACCGGTGATGGAGGTTCAAGAATCTTGTTACAGTCAGGTGATGTGGTGATGGCACTTGCCTTTAATCCCAGCACTCCAACTCAGAAACAAGTGCATCTCTAGTTCAAGGCCAACCTGGTTAACAGAGTGATTTCCAAGACAGCCAGGGATACACAGGGATACACATCTTGAAAAACAAAACAAAATTTAAAAAGAATCTTTTTTTAAATCAAATTGGGATGTGTTCTGCCTCCTGCTCAGATTTGACATGTCCAACTTAAAGGAGCAGCAAGAAACAGAGAAAAAAAGATGAAGTTAAAAATAATTACTCCAAATACTTAATTCCCAGTGTCAGGCAATGAACACAATCCAACACTCATTCAAAATACTTCCTCTTTTTGATATTAAAGTCTTAAGTCAGCAGATAACAAATACTTGCTACTTCCCGATAGCTTAATACAATGTAGTGCTTTGTTTCATAGGAATATGCATCAGCAAGACTCAAAAGTATGAAAGGGAAGGATCTTAGGGTAGAGAGGGAAAGGTAGCAATCAACAGAGGCCAAACATCAACACAGCTCTTTTTTTGTTTTTGTTTTTGTTTTGTTTTGTTTTGTTTTGTTTTGGAGACAGTGTTTCTCTGTGTAACAGCCTAGCTGTCCTTGTAGACCAGGCTGGCCTCGAATTCACAGCAATCTACCAACCTCTGCCTCAGAAGTGCTGGGATTAACGGAGTGAGCCACTACCACATGGTGTCAACACAGTTTTTAAAAGAAGCTAAATGGTAAACAAACCCTTTGGTGCTTGAACCCATGCTCCTGGCTGACCATGCTTTCTCCTCAGGAGATTAAAAAATGAGGCAACCAGTGGCTCCCTCCTCCTATCTCAAATGAGTTGGGACACAGGATGAGGCTGCCTACAGTCTTAAATTCCTTTTCTCTAAATTTCAAAACTTTTTGTTTGAGACAGACATGGAACTGGACTGGACCATGTCTGCTGTCCATGTTAGCACCACAGAGCTTGTATCGGGTCTGAATCTTGGTTTTGGCCATCTAGAGCAGGAGAGAAGTGTGAACACTGGGAGGAAGAGCAGCCGTAAAAACTGCAGGATAGGAATGACCTGGGAAAGGGCAACGGCAACAGAAGTGAGGTAGAAAGCTCCTTCTCAACCCAGCCAGAGGACTGAGAGGCCCAGACCCCTTGAGACAGGTATGTCAGCCCCTTGAAGTCCTACAGTGCCCAGGATGTGATCTTGTACTTCCTTCTGCCCAAAAATGCTGGAAATATTTAAATTTGCTCTTTTCAATTTAAGAGATTACAGGAAGGGGTAACTAGAGATGGAAAATGATATGAAAAAAACAGTAATTATGAGAAAAATCCTCATTACATAGATAGAATTCACCCTAGAAGCAGAGAGCCTTCAGAATTACCAGCTACAAGTGGGTGTGGTGGCTGGGTTAGTAGATCCAGCTATGAGATTCTGTGCTCTTATCTGGAGAGGCAGGGAAGGCTTCAGAAAAGACACCCATGTCACAATGAAAAGTCTGCAAAGAGAACATGGGCTTCTCTTTCCATTTTATAGTATTAATTTCCTTCACCAGAAAATATAAATGGATCCATGTACAATCAGTTCCCAAGTCCAGAAATAGTTTGCCTGCACCCCTTGTTAGGCGGCAACATCCCTACCTGACAGAAAGACTCCTGAACTCACATTCTGTTTCTCCCTACAGGAGGAAATAATCTACAAACACATTGACCCTCGTGTGCCTGATACATTTCTACACATCTTAGATCCTTAGATTTATAGGTTCAATCTTCACATTTCCAGGCAGAACATTTGCTCTTTGGCAGTCTTTAAACTGGACCTGACAGTCATCCCACACCCTCGGCCCAGGCTCCTCCACTCCTAACATCTCCATTAACAGCCAGCAAACAAATACATCCAGTGATGGAGGTTCTACAGCACACGGCCATGGAGAACCGCTTGCTGATACTGTCCAGCAGCTGAGCACTCAGCAGCAGCAAGGAGCTCCTTAGGGTGGACGCACTGGCGCCTGGTGGAAGCCTGAGCTTTAGCTGCATTTTTTGTCGCTTTGGCTAGGGAGGTCTGGACAGCTGGAAGTGAGCTTCTCCATCATTTTCTGTTTCCTTCTTTGTATCAATTTTCCACCTGTGAAGCCCAACACCCCACCACCAAGTGCAGCTGCAATTCCTGCCACTTTGAAGCCTGCGAGGAGGCCGATGGGACCCCCCACCACTCCTCCGATGAGTGCACCTGCCACAGGCAGAGCTGCCAGCTTGTATTTTGCAGCCTGTAAAAGAAAAAAAAATTCAATTTAGAAATTGAGTTGAGAAAAGCTGCCTGTGGTGATGTGCGCTTTCCTCTCATTACTCCTGGCAATGCCTCTTTAACAGTGGGCTCATAATTAACCTCAGAGATTATTCTTGTTGGGTGTGTGTGTGTGTGTGTGTGTGTGTGTGTGTGTGTGTGTGTGTGTGTGTGTGAAAGTATTCCACAGGTACTGCCATTGCTCCAGACCACAGAACTGAGGGAGGTTGCTCCGGAGTGGACAGCTACAAATTGATTTTACTTGCAAAACAATCAATCCACTATCTGGCTGGCTTATTTAAACAGTGTCAGCAGCCACTGGCCCCACCACAGCTTTGATTCGGCACAGGGGTTATTCCACATTAGGCACCTGTGCTGAAAACCACATCGTATGGATAATAGATGGTCACACTCCTCCAGGGCTGCTGCAGTCTCACTTTGGCTCTGCCTGGATTAATGGACCGCTCTCTCTTCTCCCTAGGCCTCTGCATATATTCCTTCATAACAACTAAATGCCTCAGAGTGAGACCACAGTTCATTCTCTCTGAGAAAAAAAAAATCTCTGATGATAGAATGAATCTGGGAGTAGAATATTACAGCCATTGATTTCTTACACTACCTATGTGTCATTTCTTCCTTATTTCCTTAATTGCTGGTTCCCTCAACACTGAAGAGAGCAGATCAATTGGGTTAATACTAGAGATTCCTGGGAGCCAGAGTACCATTGATTTGTCAGCAGGAGCAGGATCTTACCTTCCCCAAGTTTTTGGTTCCCTCTTCAACATTCACAGCAGCACTGTTGACATGGTCTGCAATGCTGTCAATCTTCTCCTGCTGAGACTAGATGCAAAGGAATTATGAGTGAGCGGTCCTGCTGGGGAGCAGTGGGAAGCCAACACACACTATTTTAATTCCTGTAATCAGGCCCCGGGTGCTGCAGCCTTGCAGTCTTAATAGCGGTTCATTAATAGCATCTGATAAACCATGTAGAAAGTACAAATTCACTTTCACGGAAAAAGAGGGGGACTTAATGATTGGGTAATAAAAGGGTGGTACCTTCATAGCAAAAAGCACCTCACACTGGAATTCATTCAAACATACAAACATATTATTCTCCAAATGAACCGACTTTGTAGGAGGAAAAAAATCCAAATAAGCATTTACATGTCATGTTGGGTTTGATAGTAAAAAAAGGAAAACATTCAAACAAAGTCCATAACTTACCTTCTTTGGAGATTCTGTTTAAATCAAATTTACTTTAGGAGTAAAATGCCTTTGACCCAACAGATACAAATTGTTCTTTTGTAAGAATGACACTACAACGTGGTATAATCCAGCATGAGATCTTTGCACTTTGATATGCAATAGGGAGTAATGAAAGAATTTGTGGTCTTGAGTTGTACACCTTTTTACTAAATAAAATATAGTTCAAGTTACCATAGTTCAGATCAATAATATGATACAGCAGTCTACCTAAAACAGTAACACCTGTTCTGATGCAGCAACGACCATGACTCCTGGGACCCCTGATGGATGAATGGTGCAGCTGGGGACTGCCATTTCTTCTCTAATGTGTGAACCACCTCAGTGCCACTCATGAATGGCTACCGAGCTCTGCTCTGACTGACACGTCAGGCACAAGCACTCTGTTCTCACCCTGGAACCAGGATCTCATCAAGATCAACTTTATTTTAATAGGTATATATGTGTATATATGGACACTCATATAAGTGTATATATATGTGTATATATATATATATATAGTTAGTTAGTTAGTTAACTAGTTATATACCATAATATGCACCCATATTGATGGTGAAGTGCATTAGGTCTTAACCGATGTAGAAAGGCATGTGATCACTACATCAGGACACAGGTAATTCCTTTCACTTCTTTGCAGAAAAACATAGGAGACCCTCTCTTCAGCTCCACATAATGCTCCTTATACAGTGATTCAACTGCCTTTTATGTTAAACCTATTTAGATTGAGGCACACAAAACTAAGGCTTCCTATCCCACTCAGCATTTCACAAGAGAAGGTAAGCACAATACAGCTCACAAGCCCCCAGCTGTTTCCTATTAGCATTATTGACATTCCTTCCCTGCCAACATGTACCTTCTCTCTGCCAGGCCTTTTGTGGTGGCCCTTCATCCCAGGATTCTCCACGACCATCTCGACATCCCTAACAATTCTTAAAATAGGACGTGTTCCAATTTCTTTTGAATCTGTCACACAAGGATAGCCAAGGCTCTCAAACTTGAGTACACACTAGATCACCTGCAAAGTTTCTGGAAACACATTGCTGGACCCTGCCACAAGCTTTTGATGTGGCAGTCTTGAAATACAGTCTGAGAATGTGTGTGTGTGTGTGTGTGTGTGTGTGTGTGTGTGAGAGAGAGAGAGAGAATGCACACATGCACAATACAGAAGAGGGTATTAGATCTCTTAAAGCTGTAATTACAGGAAGTTGTAAGCAGCCTGTGTGGGTGCTGGGAACCAAATTTAGGTCCTCAGCAAGAGCAGTACATGCTCTTAACTGCTGAGCCATCTTTTCAGCCTCCCATTTCACATACTTTGAACATCACTATCTTCCATGATTAAGACTGGCACAAAATATAGGATATTCTGTGGCCCTGGTATGTTCTTGGGCCAAGTATTCTCATCTGCTACATGAGGACTATGGTATTTCTCCTTCTGTGTGGTAAAAGGGGGATACAATGAGACGTCTGCAGAGCACAATGGGAAAACAGAAACACCATCCTGGTTTCACCAAGGACGTGCTAACTCTCATCTTTCCAGCAAAATAGTTTAGCAAGCTTGCTCCTGATGGTGTTCTCAGATAACAGGCCTCCCTTAGTGTTCACTGGATTTTCATTTTTACAACAGCAAAGCTCCTTTCAGTCAGCTTTCTAGCCACAGAAACAAGTGCCAGCACCAACAATATCCAACTTGTCTGTATTCCTGACCGCTGCAGGACTTGTGTCTGCCTTCCACTTTTGCTGAAGCAATCTATGCTAGCAGGTGAGCCACTGCAGTAAAACCCTATCACCAACTTTTACATCTTTATGGCTAAAGCAGAGGATGAAGAGCTGAGGGAGGAGTCTGCTAGGGCTATTGCTAAGTCCACACTCCAAGTAATCACAGACCTCAGGAAGATTTATTTCTGTGCCCCTTCCTAAAACTTTGGATACTGCAACATTATGGCTGTCGTAGTCACTGCTTTGCTGCTGTGAGAAGACAACATTAACAGAGAAACTCTTATGTAGGAAAGCATTTACTGGGGACTTGCTTAGTTTCAGGGGCATAGTCCATCGTCATCATGGCAGCGAGCACAGTAACAGCGAGCACAGTGACAGGGAGCACAGTGACAGGGAGCACAGTGACAGGGAGCACAGTGGTACAAATGGGTAATGGAGAAGCAACTAAGAGCTGCATCCTAATCAGTAGGTCAAGGGACAGAAAATGAGCCTGGCATGGGCCTTTGACACATTACAGCCCATGCCAGTGACAAACTTCCTCCAAGAAGGCCATACCTCCTAATCCTTCTAATTCTTTCAAAGAGTTCCACTCTCTGGTAATTAAACATTCAAATAAATGAGCTTATTGGGGCCACTCTCATTCAAATCATCACAGTGATTTGTTAAGTTTAAAGTAGAATTTTAAGATAACTAATTTTTCCCTACAAAAATCCTTTGGGAAAATTAGAGAAAAGACTACCAGGAAAATGCCCAACCTATGAATACTCATTATTTCAACTGTAATGCATTCATTAGTGCAACTACCAGTCCAAGATGAGTCTATCTGTCCTGGGGTAGCCCATATCTGTTAGTACTACAGACCTTGGGAAGCTTGCTGGGACGTGGGGATAGGAGAAGCCGGAGGGCAGAAAGCCCTACCCTGGGTCAACAGACATCCCTCAATTATACAAACCTAGCTGCTACTTCCTGTTAGTTTGGCTTCAGTCTTCCAACTGTCTGTATCTTTAGATTCTACTTCATGTATAAGAAGGACTTGGTGATCTCCACAATGATTGTAGTTAGCTTTCAATCACCATCAGGAGAATGCGAAACTATACTGCATTTAAAGCTAAGACCTTAGCTCTTTACACTGGGCCAAACTGCACAAAAACAACATTACCAGTCTATGAGATCAGGCTGATGGAGGAGGGTTATCTGTCTATTGTGTTATTTTCATTGGTCAATAAAGAGACTGCCTTGGCCCCTTGATAGGACAGAAAATTAGGTAGGCGGAGTAAACAGAATAGAATGCTGGGAAGAGGGCTATGAGGCAGAAGCCATGGAGCCAGCCATCAGGTCAGACATGCTGAATCTTTTCCGGTAAGCCACACCTCGTGGTGCTATACAGATGATTAGAAATGGGTTAATATCAAGATATGAGAGTTAGTCAGTAACTAACTCTCTAGAGATAATGGGCCAGGCAGTGCTTAAATGAATACAATTTGTATGTTGTTATTTCTGGGACTAAGCTAGCCGTGCGGGAGCCGGGTGAGGCGAAAAGCAGGTCTGCCCGCAGCCCCTCACTTCATCAGGCTTCTCCCAGCAGTGGTGACTCAGGGCCTCTGCCCTTATCTACCCACTTTGCCTCTTTGCTTCTGATTTAAGTTTGTCTTCGTCTACCTAGACTTCTCAAACTAAACAGTTTTCATCCCCCAATACCCAGTCTGGCATTTTACTCTTTGGCACTTAGAAGTGTTCTCAGCATCCTTTTATCAATGGACTAAGTCACTTGTAAGGCACATTTTAAGGAATATTCAATTAGTTGCCCTATTGGCCTGAAAGTAGCCAAATCTGTATAAGCAGTGATAGGGGCAAATCGGTTTCAGGAGAACTCAGAAAGAACTCGAAATGTGACACACAGGTAGACAATGGTTATCTTGGCCTAGTAAAGGCAATAAGCAGGGTAGAGAAGGAACATTGCATTGGGAGGGGACTTAAGGATGTTGGTGGCAAAGGTAAGACCCAAAACAAGGTTGCAGAATAGCTGAGGTAGATGGGGATGAGAGGAGGAAAGATACTGTCTGAGGGAGTCTTTTCATCTGGTTTGCAAAACCTGCTGTCAAATAACATGCTAAAGTTCATAGAGACTATACATGGAAAAATCTAACCGAATCCACTGCAGTCCTATTCTAATGCAGTCAGAACAAAATTGGATTTCAAAAGCCACAGAGAAAAAGATGGAAGTCAAAATAGACCCAGCAGTAAGGGTAGCATGTTGTCCAACTTCTGGCCCAGAGTTCTTTAAATTCTCCTTGACGGGAAGGAAATGGGCTGGTCATAAGAAAGGGGCACTTGCATAAGCAGAACAGAGGCCTGTAGATATGAATCCACCCAGAGTTACTGGGCCACACTGTAGCCTCTCATTATCTTCGTGAGTCCTATTACAGCAAACTATGTACATCTTGATATTCTAATGACTTGCAAGCGTACAACTCTTGCATTGTATTTCATTCACAATACAGAGGCATCGGCAGCATTACCCTACAGGGCCTTTTGATCCTCCTGAGTTCAGCACAGCTGTGCACCCAGAGAAAGTTCTTTAACTATATTGTTGTCCAGATACACTCATGTGACAACAACAGAGGATGTGGTCACTCCTGTGTTCCTGCTTATTCTCTACCTAAATGGAACTTCTGTGACTTCTTGGCCATATGTCACAAGAACTCAATCATTCCAGGAATAACAATCATAGCTCTCCTTTGAGCTTCTGCCAAACAACACTGTATCTCGTGTCCTTGCAGAGACGATTATAACTAGGACATTTGTATGGAGCTGTGGCTGTGGCCGGAACCTTCCCGGGTCAGTCCATAGACTGGGTTGTGACCTGCTTACTATATAACATAACTGAACACACAATTGCTAATTCTCCACCAACTCTATCCCTTTCTTTCATATGCCTACCCACCAGAAGAGAAAATGCATTTGTTTGGATAAGAGCTAAGTCTACCTTAGTGATGTATAATTTACATACACCGAAACACATTTCAGTGTGCGGACTGATGGCTTTGGCAAGTGCCTATATTTATGTGACCAAGCATACACAGACTTTATGAACTGCATTAGAGTGAGAGATTATTAATTACAATAATTGGATAGATCTTGATTGTAAACAACACATGTGTTGGGGGACTCCTGTATCATTCCCCGCCATCTGCAAAATAATAACAGGCCATAGAGACAGCTAGTCTGGAGACTACTAACATTTTTTTCTTTTGACTTAGAAGCATCAGAAATAATTCAAACAATTTATTGCTTTCAATTTCAGTCATTACTGTCCAGGAAAATAGCCATAAGATAGACCATAAGAAGAAAAGGCTAGCATTAGACAGTCTAGAACACAAGTCTAGAACTCATTGGTACAAGAGAGCCACAGAAAGAGAGCATTTCTAAGAAATGAAAATGTGTCTGGGTAGGTCAAAGAAACAAGAACATTTATCTCAAAACCGTGAAAACCTCTTATACTGAAAGAAAACAAACTCTTCCGTATGTGGCTCTAGAGAACAAAAGTGCCCAAGAAAAATTCTATGACAGAATTTACACAGGAAGAGCTTCCACCCCTCCTACAGCCTTCAGAAGAATAGCTAAGCACCAGTGTCACATCCGTGACTTTTAGAAAGACAGAAGTCAGTGGTCTGAGAAACTGGGGCAGAGCACTGGGCTAGATTAGCAAGATCTGGAGTCCTTCCCCATTCCAGCCCTGAGGAGCTGTGCTCTAGGAGCCTCCACCTCAAAACCAGGCCTTAGGGAAGCCTCGATGCAGAGAATCTGGGTTGCAATTCATGGCCTGAACAACAACAGGAAACCAGCCTAGCCAGAGCACAAGCGGAAATTACTTTGCACCTGTGCAAACAGGTGTTCACACACCAAACCTTCCTATAATTCCCAGGGGAAAACAAACAAACAAAATACAGTTTAAAAAATAATGATAAAAAATTTACATTTCCTACCAAAACTATAATATGCTCCCTAATCTATGACAGCAGATTCATTCAGGCCTTAAAGGTTCCTGTCTTTGACTTCACCTTCCTCCAGGTTGATCCTCAAAAAGATCCTCAAAGGATTCTGAGCATCCTTTACACTCTATAGGTAAGTGTTACTACTTTACCTACAGGTTAAATTCTTATAACTGGTTTCCAGCTAGCCACCGTGCCCATGACCTCCTCTTCATTATAAGAGTCTTCCTAAGGCACAAACTGGATCGCAGGACATCTGTACCAGCTCCTTCAGACCCACAAAGCAGCCCAAATTCAGTAGCAGCACTAGCTGACCTTCATCAATCCCTGTGTGTCCCTTGTAGTTTGGATAATAGGTACACTAAGAACTTTTTGACAGTCCACAGAACTCACCATGTCTTGTCCTATTTCACCTATTTGAAAGAACATCCCTTGTGGCCCTCTGGGAGCATTTACTCATTCTTCAAGGCTCACGTTAATACCAGCCTGTGATTGTAGCTTTAATGCTGCTGTATCATAAACCACGCCTCCCTCCCTGGAATACATGTTTCTTCTTGGAGCTGATGGGGCCTTTCACTTTATTTTGCATTTAGTTATCATGCTTGAAAACTAAGTGTGAGAGTCACAGCCCACCTCTTCCTCCCATGGAATCCCCAAAGCAGAAAGTAGACTTGATTTTTGTTTGTGTGCAACTTGGTCAAACTTCCAACACTGAGAATCCAGCAAAGTACTTTTTACATAATATTTATTAAACTGATCTAGAATTCTGGGACCATATTCATAGTTCAATACCATTTTTAAATTATAATCTAGGCTCATAGGTTAAGAGCACTTGCTACTCTTGCATTGGACCCAAGTTTGAATCCTAGCACCCATATCACAACTCAAAAACATCTGTAACTCCAGTTTCAGGGCATTCAAAACCCTCCTCTGACGTGTGGGCATCAAATACACAGGTGTTACACATTCATACATGCAGGCAAAACATTTGTACACATAAAATAAAGGCAAATGTTTTAAAAATATGTGACCTCTATTAAAATTTTAATCAAAAGGACAGTGACTGATTAGTTCTGAGCCTTACTCAGTTCAATACTTACATTCACTAGGAGGGAGAAATCAGTGACCAGGTGGCTAAGTTCGATTAAGTCCTTTAAGAAGAGAGAGAGGGAGGAAATTACTTACTTTTACATCACACAGTTACCAAAAAGAAAATGCGCTTAGCATACCGCTTCTAAGTTATCCCAGGATTCAGCAGCATTTTGGTCTCGAGGGATTTCAGGCAAGGCATATATCTGAGTCAGACTCTGAGCAGCAGCTTCGGCCTCCGCAGTGTGGAGCGCTCCTGGATGGACACAGGCCTGGTTAGAGCTTGCTTCTCAGGAAGGACAGAACACAAACTGGCTCCAAAGACAACTAGCACAGAGAATACTTATAATTCCATTCAGGCTAAAAGTAAATGGATCAATCTACGAAAACAGCATTGTGTACCTTTGGGCAGCCTGTTCTCTGAGTTAACGCAAAGGCACCAAGCAAGACCTTGTAACTGAATGATGAGGGTCAGAGGTGGAAGAGGTGGCAATGGCAACTACTACACTTGGCCAGCGCTCTACAGCAGCAGTATAACACGTTCTGCTGCTAAATGCATAGGCTTGGACTTAGCTATTTAAGTGATAAGGATCAGATATAGCAGGTGTCAAAAGCAGGACAGTGGGGCCGGTGACTCACTGACTCAGCAGGTAACACATTTGCTGCCAACCTGACAATTCGAGTTCAGTCCCCCACATAGAGATGAAGGAGATAACAGATCCCACAAAGTTGTTCTCTGACCTACACACACACACACACACACTCACACACACACATACCTCACATTATGTACACACACAGTAAAAATCAACGTATAATTTTAAAGTAGGAAAGTGGGCTGGGGTTTAGCTCTATGGAGGACACTTTGGTTTACTAGTACAGAAGGAAAGTGAAGTAGTTATGTGTTTGTAGCAATTAACATCAGTCTCTATTGGTGACAATCTCATCAGCAATGAGCACATTTGCCATAGGAATGTTTTTGGACACGTAACTCTGCTTAGAGTCATTCTTCTTCCACATACTTTATGGTTTTTTCTACTTCTTTTTTTAGTTTTAAAAATCTCTCAGCCCACAAAAACTATTTACTAAACAATACTGTAATAACAAAGTAATAAACACTACAAACATCAACCTTCAAGTCTTCCTGGGTCTCTCCTTCATGAAGCAGACACTGTGGCACTCCTAACAGACACAACAGAAGGCTACAAGACCAACCCTGAAGTGGTCTGCTCAGAAAGCCCGGTGTTAAGAGTCCCGGGAGCTTGCTGTTCCTGTTGGTAAAGGAAGCTGCTATCTATTTTGCATAGAACCTGGCCCTGCTGCTGCCACTGCTACTGCTGCTATCATGGACAGAGCTTCCATGGAACCTGTGGTACAGAAACGCCACAGTCAAGTTCAGTCAGTATTATGTGACAAGACTATGCCGCCTGTGAGTATGAGGTACGTAAGTATAAGCCTGGCCTTTAGTCCTGGCTTGTGGAGAGAGAGTAGTCATCAGGGGCTCTGGGGCCTGAGGATGAGAGAAAATAAGGCAGACGGAGAGGGGTGAGAGTGTAGGAAGATGCCCGAAGTGTCTAACCAAGGAGAACAATGTGTGCATAGGCCTGACACTGGAAGACGTTCAGACTAGCTGAGGCACAGACTGGAATGAAGGACAAAGCAAAGCTCAAGGCTGACAGCCTAAAGTGAGACTACTCGGGGGCATCGGGAAGCTTTACAAAGAGCTGTTTCTTCTCACATAATCACTACCAAACTATTAGAACTGGAGATGGCTGTGAAGCTGGAAGCTGCCAAATCAGACCTGAGCCAGAATGTAAAGAATACATTAAGGACAAAGTTGACAGGTGAGAGTGAAAACCCAGGCAGGGGGCTTTGCTACATCCAGTGCAAATGATGATCTCTAGTTCTAAGGCAGCGGCAGTGAAGGTAGAGAGGACACCAGAGCTGTCCTTACTCCACTTTAAACCCAGAACACCTACAGTAACATCTTTTTAAAATTACATTTTATTTATCTATTGTGTGCACACACATGTGTTTGTGCTATGATGCACATGTAGAGGTCAGAGGACAACTTGACAGACCTTTAGCTGCTAAGCCGTCTCACTGGCCCAGCTTTAACATTATGTGTTGTCGTTAGTATCAAGGATGAAAAAAATGAGTAATACAGAGTACCACCCTCAAAGAGCGTACATTCTAGAAGAATTAGACACACAAAGGGGTGGTCATAAAAAAGGGGGAGACTGCACTGGAGATAATAGAGACAGAATTTGGAGGGAGTTCTAATCTAGCCTGATGTGGCAGGTAGTTTAGACATTACTAGGCAAAGAAGAGGAATATGAATGCTAGATGGAGAAGCCAGCATGAGCAAAGACCTCAAGAGAGAATACAGCTAAGATACCATCGGAAGCTGGCATTATCAAAGCATGAAGGGCAAGACAGAGGTGCAAGTGTGAAAGGCGTTGTAGGAGCCAGGTAAAGACTGCGGCAGACAACAGAGGACTGCTGAAGGCTGTCTATAAAGCCAGGTAAAGACTGCGGCAGACAACGGAGGATGCTGAAGGCTGTCTATAAAGCCTATCAGGAAACGGCATGATGACTTCTGATCTGACCTGAGCCAGTCATCAAGAAGCTATATTAATTCCTATTTCCTTTCCATTCCTTTTTTTCAGCCAAGCCTAGAAACAAATGATACTTTATAAAACCATGTGATTAGTTTTATCTTCAAAGTTAATAAACACTTTATTCTTAAGATAAAAGCTTGTTTGAACTGATCAAGACGGGCATAATCAGCTGAACAAAAGATGGCAAGACAGACATAAAGATTCATAGTGGTTATTTTTCAATTATAAATGTGATCTCTCTCTCTCTCTCCTTCTTGATTTATGAGTATCAGATTGCCCATATAGACTCAGTTTTTTCTTAATATGCTTTTTAAAAGAATGTTTTTATTTATTTTTTGTCAACAAAAATACATCTTGATTATGCCCAATAAGGCCCCTTTCTACCCTGCCTGGAACCTCCAATATTCACCCTTCCCATTTTCCTGTTCTCTCTTTTTTTTAAATATTAAGCCTAATTAGTGCCATCTGTATTGTCTATGGTTTTATCTTGAAGAACAAACTCATTAGGCACAGAGTACATTTCATAACATTATAGTAAAGAGCCAATCTTGAAAGCTTTCAATGATTTTTTTTCAAATGCTAAAATTTTTAAATTTTCCCTTCAATCAAGATAAACGAAACAACCTATGGCCTCTTTTTCATTTCACACTCTGGGTAACCTCTTGATCAGTATCAGACAGAACAGTGGCAGAACTCTGTAACTGGGCACACTTTAAAGATCTTAAGCCATAACCTATATACTATTAGAGAAGATTCGAGGGAAACAGGCAGGGTCTATAAAACAAGAAAAGATTATCATACATAATAAAGTACTTTAAAAAAAATAGGGATGGGAATTATCTGACATTTTAGACAAATATAAAAGATTTCTGTCAGGACAAAAAGGAAATGATTAGGTCATTCCCATCTCACTTGAAACCAAACTACGTATGTGTCTTAGTTACAACAAAGACGTCCTTTCTTTTCCACGGAAAACCTTGCTGGTAATTTACAACTCTGAACATCACAAATCAGCTCAAGGCATGACTGTCAAGAAAGAACTCTTTTAATTCCTAGAACCTCTGCAATTCACTGCTTCAGCTTGTCCCTTAGTGCTCCTCCTTTGACTATGAACTCTTACAGACTTGTAAAGGGATATGTGTGGTGTATGGAGTGTGTGAGTGTGTGTGGTGTGTGTGAGTATGTGTGTGTGTGTTTCTGACATTACAATTCGATGTAAAGCCTTATTACTGCTTATTCATTCAAATAAACCTTAAGACCATTAACTCCCTCTGGCTGAAGTGATAGTAAATAAGCTATCTAACAATGTACTGCCCTCTCTTTTCCTCTGCACTTTATGAACTGCAAAGAGTCTCGACCAGGAAGTACAGTCCAATACACGAGAAATCTCCACTAACCTTCATGACATTAGTAGTGTTTCTCTACAAAACTAAATAAATTCAAAGGCATTCCTTAAACTTTGCAAGTTCTGACACCTTAAAAATGAAATTCATTTACTGATCATCATTGAACATAAACCTATCTATCAAAATAAAGTGACTTCTAAGTCACAGCTTGATGCAGAAGAGGACTTTTAGATTAAAATCAACGGGAGATGGATCTTCTACATACCATCCAACAAAACAGCTCTGTGTTCTGCAGAACCATTCTGTGCACACGTATGCCAGAGGTAAAAATCTAGCATTGCTTCAAATTCTAGATGCTGGTCTGAAGTTACCTGCAGTTTTATGACTGAGATATTTTCTTTTGTGTGTATTTGCTGAAAATGGACTAAAATTCCCTTCCTGCTGTGCTGCTGATGGGGATGTTCTGGATGCAGGAATGGGGGAGACAGACAGGAACTGCAGAGAGGCACTGCTTCACCCCAGATGGCATGGACCTCCATGCTGAATGCAAATCAGACGGATGGGCTCATCATCCCTCTTGATGGGGAGCCATGAGAAGGAAATGAAAGTCACCACACAGTGAGACTCAGGGAGATTCTCACGTCAAGCAGGACTGGCAGAGACTGGCTTTTGGAACTCCCCCAATCTGCAGAAACAGCACTCACAGCTTCCCCTACACCCCCTTGGTTTTCTAGAGAACATAAGATGCCCTCTTCTTCTCATTGTTTCTAATTGTAAATGGAAGCTAGTTTTGTATTTTTTATCTCACCCATAGAAATGTGGCAAGATTGCTCCTGAATCTATTTCCAACCAAAGTATTTAGACTCAGATTTATAAAGAAGAAAGAATTTTAAGTCATTTAACTTCCATGCAAACAGCACAAGTTTCTCTGTATAGGCTGTCACTACTATAACAGGTATGTGAAGCAAAGGTAAGAAACCAGAGCGCACAAGACAAAAGCACGAGGAGTGACAGACAGTCCACAGCTAGCAGGCAGCCGCAGTATACCGCATCCTACTCAACCTCAGAGGCCTGTGGAAGTTTGCTCCTTGTGTTCTTCTCATTACTCTCCTTTGTCAGTAGTATTTCTGCAGATAAGGCAGCCGAGTGCAGGCTTACTCTGTGACTGTGGACGTTGGTCAGACCCCACTTTCCATGGACAGTGGACTTGGGGTGAAAGAACGAGCAGTCAGAATCTGAACTCTACTCTGTTAGCTATGACTTAGGTATGTGGTTTTACAAACAGAATTTGAGTGCCCTAATCATATTAGCACTGTGTTCTCCAGTGGCAATCATTAGAAATTAGAAATTAGATTATCTGATATTCCATGAATTGAGAGGCTTGAAAATCAATATAGTTGAAAATTAATTTCACATGCTGTTTCTTCCCCCTCATACTCTGTCTCCATCCTAATTTTTAATTTCTTTAATACACATGTTTCCTCAGATTCTGCCAAATCTCAGGTTTCACACTAGTCTTCTGTTTATACTGAAGAGTAATTGGCATGGAGTGGGTAACCAGGTAAATACCCAGTGATATATGCTCAACTGTGCTGCCCACAAATAGTTCAGCTTGGATAAATGCATACAATGCAACAATAAAATGCAAATTAAAGAAATTATTATTTTACTATTGTGCAAAAAATCCTGAATGAATTAAAGTATTTTGCTTCAGATAAAAACACTAGCAATGGGCTTGAAGCTAAAGAGTAGGAGACCGACACCAACTACTCTTTCCAGAAAACCCTATTATCTCCGCTGTTATTACTGCATCATTGTCAAAATGTCTAACTATAGTAGGCACTAACACTTGGAAGGAGAAAGCCCAGTCTCTACCTGTGCACAAAAAGCATCAGTTCGTACTGTGGCAGGAGCAGTCTTCCTCTGCACCATATGGTGGTGGTAACCATAGAACTGTGAAAACAGTAACGGCAAACTACCAAGAAGCACGACCCCCAAATGTCTTTGAAGAGATGAGCACTAACACTTTAGCAGTGGCTGTGCAGAAAAGTGACTGGAGCACTTTTGTTTGTTTGACTGGTTGGCTTATTTTATAGCGAAAGGCTTGCTTGTGTGCCCAGGATGACCCTAAACTCTCAATAGCTCACCCTAGTCCAATTTCCCAAGTGTTGAGATTACACGTATGTAGCACTGTGCCAGCTCTATTGCAGCATATCTCAAATGACAATGTCCCTAATATATATTTGTTTATTTGTTTTTATTTAAAATACATCTTTGAACAGTTCAATACATGTAAAGCACTGTGTAAGGTAAAAAGGCTACAAAAAAAGGTTACACAGAAATGCTAGGCAACCTAAATGTTTGGGCATTTCCTTGCAAAGTGCTGAATCATTAGCAATGAATAAATACACATTTTAAATAATATAGAGATAAGGAGTGGAAATAATACAAGATTAAAAAATGGAATTCTGCCCAGGTGCAGTATTCCTAAGTTTCCACTTTCTAATTGATTTGTAGTTCATATTTTTCATAAGGATTAAAAGTCTCTTAAGAGATATAAAATGGAAGGAAATGGAATAAATTAAAAGTAAATGATAAACAATTACAACAGAAAAGGAAAGGAAAGAAGGTCAAGAGTTGCAAAATAAAGTCAACATACTTTACAAATTTAATTTTTGGTGAGTAAAAAAATTGGCTTTAAGCTTTCTAGGAGAAAACTCAATTACAGAAACCTTACTAGTTATTCTACTCACTACTTAGGAGATTTAAATCCAAACCACCCAACTAAACAAAAAACAATTGCTTTGAAGTATTATGACATATTAAGCCATTTTTTTCTGCATAAAGTTATCAGCATAGTGTTACCAAGGATTATCAAATACATCCCTAGAAATGATAATAACACTGTTTTCATAAGGCTGTTTCTTAGAATATCAGCTCACAAAGCTGACATCATGAGCCCACCACAGATTTTTCACTTGTTAGTTAAATTCAGAGAATGGACAGTGGAGAGACCTAACGGTATGTGAAGCCAGAACAGCTAATAAGAACAGCTCCCAAACAAGTTGAAGAATATAGTAAAGATGTGTTACATTTGTTTATGCTGTGGAACATTTATTTAATGATATAAAGATGGTTTGGTTGCATTCTTTTATGTGCTTTTGTTTAACTCTGTAAAGCTGTGTTACTTTGCCTGCCTAAAATACCTAATTGGTCTAATAAAGATCTGAACAGCCAATAGTGAAGCAGGAGAAAGGATAGGTGGGGCTGCCAGGCAGAGAGAATAAGTAGAAAAGCAAGGCATGAGAGAAGGAGGAGAGGAGGATGTGAGAGGCCAGCTACCAGCCAGTCACAGAATAGGAAGGAAAGAAAGAAATACAGAAATAGAGAGAGGTAAAAGTCCAGAGGCAAAAGGTAGATGGATAATTTAAGCTATAAAAAGCTGGCTAGAAACAAGTCAGACTAAAGTTGGAAATTTATAAGTAAGACTAAGTCTCTGTGTATTTATTTGGGAGCAGGTGGTGGGCCCCTCAAAGAGCAAAGAGTAAAAACAACCAAATCCACAAACAGCATGTCCCACACTGGAGAGGAGAGAGGCACACACCACACACAAGGACAACATTATTTTTCGTAGTAACTTTAGATTTCCATTTCAACACATGGGCAAGCAGGTACTTAAAGTTCCAATCTACACAATTTTATCTTGCAAAATTTCCAGGTACACATATCAGGTCTGTTTAGGGACTTACAAGGCCTCTCTGTGTCCCTTCTACCCAAGGAGAGGGGCATTAGCTAACGGCACCACTAGGATCAAGAGTAAGACATGTTACCACCAACAGTCGTGGATCTGGTCAGAGAAGGCTGTAATAAAGCTTCTTCCTCATTAAATTGTTTCTTGAGTTCCTCAACAGACTCCAAGTGGAGCTGGAGAAACTCTGCCGTGGCTGCTGCTGCTGCTTCCTTAACAGGGTCGATCATTCTCTTCAGAAGAACCAGGTCATCCTTATGGACTTTCAAGCAAAGCTTTTCCATTTCTCGGATATTGGAGCGGAGTTGCTATGAATGAAAAAGAGAAACATTATTAGCACCATCTCTCAAGGTAAGACCTATTTCTTCTCAGAATAATTTGCTAAAGTGCTTTTGAATGCAAATTAGTACATATTGTCTACCACAGATACAATTTTTCAATTTCCCTCACCTCTCTCTGCTAGCCAAATCCAACATATTTAGAATCCATGCCCTCAAACTTTGACTTTATTTAGTCATTTTTCCTTTATTATATGTGACTACTACACTATAAATGCTGTACAACTAGCATTGTGGGACACATACGGAACTAAAATATTCTAAGGACCCATATGATCTCTATGGTTAGGTCACAAAATAATTTCTGATAAAAGAAAACAATTTCAAAATGAGTAAAGTAAAAATAAAATGAAAAAAGAACCAACAAAGCAGAAGATAAAAGCATGTAATAGAGGCTAAAAAGATGGTTCAGAAGTTAAGAGCAGTAGCTGCTTCTTCTAGAGGATCCAGGTTCAATTCCCAGCATTCACATGGCAGCTCACAACCCTATCAAACTCCAGTTCCAGAGTACCTGGTGACTTCTACCGGGTTCCATGTGCACAGCATGCACGTGGTGTACAGACATACACTCTACACATAAAATAAAAATAAAATATTAAAAAAGAAATCACATGAAGAACAGATGATATAATCAATAATTATATCAAATATAAAATTAAATATTTTTATAAAATAAAGATTATTTTAAGATTGGATAAACAAATAAAAGAGATCATTTAAACATAAAAGCAAAATGATTCAAACTAAAAGAATAAAAAACAAGTCAGATAAACCCTAGCATCCCTCTCCCAAGAATGACTACAGCAACACTACTGTCAGATAAACAGACTTTACAGCTAACACATTACCAGACATAGAGAACCACTGTACAATAAGATTCTCTTCAGAAATATATAACAACACAGATGGAATACATATCATAAAAAGCTGAAAGAACTACAAATTGCTTCCTTTCTATACGTATATGTGTGAGTATTCATGTTTGGATGTGTGTGGGTGCATGTGGTAATGAAACACATGCATGTGGAGGGCAAAAATTTGATAGCAAGTGTCTTTCTTTGTAGTTCTTCTGTATTTTCTGGGGCAGGGTCTCTGTACCTGGAGTACACTAATTCCGCTAGTCTAGCCAGACAGCTTGTTCTAGGCATTCCCTGTCTCTGCCGCCCAAGTACAGTGGTGACAGGTGGCCACCCTGCCTGCCTGTCTTCGGTCCTTATGCTTAGGTGGAAAACGTTTTATCCACTGAGCCATCTCCCCAGTCCAAAGATTTTAATTAAATTCACAGTCATAAAGAAAGGTCTTAAAAACCATAGTAATTAATAAAACAAATGGCAAGGGTATATTAGGTATAAAGTGTTTGAACAAGAAAGTTAACACAGCTTGATGTAAGTTACTTAGAACATTAACCCATATACTAGAAATATAAACATTAAAAAAATGTTAAAGCAACTTTCACAAATTTCAAAAACATTGACAGCATGTACTCTGAGCATAATTAAGTTAAATTTGAATCATTGATGAAAATATATCTATTGTATGTATAGAAGGAAGAAAGATATTTCTAAATCGTCTGCAAGTAAAGAAAGAAGTCACAGTGGAAATTAAAATCCTATGGCCTGAATGCAAAGAAAAGTAATACATGTTAAAAGTTGTAGTGCTCCGTGAAAGAGTTAGGAGTATACTTCTCCAAAGATAGATATATATTAGGGCTAGGCTATCCCTAGAGGCTGCCAAGATATTCAGATGGGTAGGCCCCTGTAGTGTTTGAATAAGAATTGTCCCCATAGGCTCATATACATGATTGCTTAGTCATCCAGGGGTGGCCCTACTTGAGAAGAATTAGAAGGTGTGGCCTAGTTGGAAAAAGTGTGTCACTTGGGGTAGGCTTTAAGGCCCAGTGGCTCTCTTTCTCTTGCTCCTGCAAATCAGCCTTTCCAGAACCATGTCTGCCTGCGTTCACCATGCTCCCTACATCATGACGGTAGACTAACACCCGATTCAATTCTTTCTCTTACAAAAGTTGCCTTGGTCATAGAGTTTCTTCACAGCAGCAGAACACTGACTAAGACAGTTCCCTTTCCTCTTTCTTCTCTTCTGTCTTTTCATTTCAGGTGCTTGACAGAGCCTACACATGCTTTTAAATTTCCTAACAGTTTGGGTTCCCTTACCCATGAGCAACCATCCTCTTCCCTAAGCCTCCCCTCCATGCAGTTGACATATACAGCTTTCTCTGGGCTTTTTTTTATTTGAAAAACAAAAAAAAAAGAATGGATACAAATTATCAAGTTAGATATCCATCTCAAGACCCCACAAGAAAATACAAAAGCAAGGCAAATGTAAAAAGGCGAGAAGGACACAGATGTGAGTAAACTTAGACGAAGAAACCGGCACACAGATTAACAAAACAGAACTGCTCTGGGGAAGAGTTAAAACCCATAAGCTTCACAAAAGTTGTTTTAAAAACAGACATGAATTACCAAAATCATAAACAAGAGCGCATCACTACAGGTCTAAAAGAACTAAAACGATAATAAGAAATTATGAATAAGCCAGATGTAGTGATGCACACCTTTAATCCCAGCACTCAGAAGGCAGAGGCAGAAGCAGATGGGTCTCTAAATTCAAGGCCAGTCTGATCTACAGAGAATTCTAGGAGTCAGGGCTACACACAGAGAGACCTTGTCTTGAAAACAAAAATAAAAGGAATTATGAATAACTTATGTCAATAAGTTAGAAAAGTTAGATAAAATGGAGAAATTGCTACAAAACTATAATTTATCAAACTGATAAATTATAAATGGTCACATAAAAATTAATTTTGTTTTTCTTGTTTTTTGGGATAGGGTCTCATCTAGTCCATGATCGCCTCAATTCTGCTATGGAGCTGAGGCTGGCCTTGACCAGGCTCCTTGATTCTCCTGTTTCTACCTCCTTCTACCTTCTAGAGATTGTAGGCACCTAGATACTATTAAATAAATTAAATGTATTTTTTAAAATTCTCCTGCCTGTTCCTTCCCTATGTTAAACAACAATCAACCAAATTGTTTTTAAACAACAAAACGAAAACCAGCAGAAACTGTGTCACTGGTTTGTCAGTTTTGCCAAATATTTATAAGAAATTACACAAATTCCTCATGGGAAAGAGTCAAAGACTTGATACCAAAAATCAACAAGAAAAAGAAGCTACCCCCAGCAAACTCATACAGTCTCACATAGTGAGTGGATAGGCCTACTTCAAAAGATGGATTAGAAGATACTGTATCAGGCAACAACAGCAAACTGCAAGCCGGTCCCAAAGACTCGCTCTGCTTGATTCAGTCTTTATAATGTTCTGAAACAAGCTGAATCAAACTGCTGTCTGAAGGGGTCATTTGGTGGCAAATTTAAACAGAGAAGATGGGAAGTATCTGCCATAAAAGTCAGGATGGTGATGCCTCTGGTGCAAGGTGGTGGTAACTGAGATGAGGCCACAGGGCCTTCTAGAATGCTCACAGCTCTCCATTTTGGTACATAAGTGTATCAAATGTACTAAGTGTAATTACTTAGGAGTATATTTATGATATAAGTATTCTACAGTACATTTGATATGGTTCAGAGTTTAATGTTTTTCGAAAAGAAATTTATATTTATCTAAGTGATAACCAACCTAAGGTTGGTTATAGATATGGTTATATATTGGTTGAAAACATGATGCAATGGAAATCTAACTGTGGAGGTATGTGAGTTATTAGCCTATGAATCTTTTTTCTTTCATTGGGTGGAAGAAGTAATGAAAGAGATACTTCTTTGGGTTGAATTCTGACCTACCAACATAAACCCATGCTGTAGGGAGAAGTTCTGTGAGAAGGCACATGTTAGCATGGAGTGACTGATAGTCAACAAAAGTAGTACTGCAGTTTGTGAGTCTCAGGAAAAGTTGATTTTATCAGCTTCAAAGAAAAAAAGCTGTATGATACCACAAGCATAAATTATTGTGATAAGATCTAAAAAGAAAGAGAGAAAGGGGTTCATCTTCTAAAAAGTGAACTTAAGACACTATAAGGGCAAATAAATCCCACGTAAGAAAAGAAAGTGACATCTAAGGAATCAGCTATGACTGCAGTTTAGGGTGGGAAATTCAGAATCTTGAGATACTTACCAGAAGGGGGCAAGGAGGGAGGAAAGTCAAGTGAACCCAAGAGTGGTGTGAAACAAGGAGAATCATGCAAGTAAGAGCCCAGAATGAGCGGGGGCTGGTGGAAAAGTTAAGAACAATAAGAGGATATAAAAATACATGTACAGCAAGAACAAGAGAGAAGGCTCGGGCCCACTGCTTTGGGGCAGATGGTGTAATGCTAACAGATGATGTGGAGAGCAGAACCACTTAGCTCCTGTTTTGCTTTTGGTTCTGTATTGAGGAAAATTTCAAAATTGCAAAGGGGTAAGAAACATGCCCAAAGGAAATCTGTGTCACTACAGAGATGTGGACAGGCTTCACAAAGGAGTGGCTTGGTGTTGTCTCTGAAAAACCGTCGTAGGGAAGCAGGACATACCAAACACAAAGCCCTATTGGTCTTCACTTCAGCAGCAGCAGGACACCTCATTGTTTCCATATTTAACAGCACTGGGCCAAACTAGCTTATACACTGGGCGAAAGCATGGGGCCAAGTGAGGTAGCAGCATCTGTCCTTCCTAGAGGGAGACAGCATGATGCCTTAGATGTCATTTGCCCCATCCTACCCTATGCCAATTAGGACAGAGGTCAAAGATAGAGTTCAGATTAATCTCATAAATATTTTAAAGAAAAAAAATCAAGTTAAATTTCTCTGAACTCACAATAACCTAAAGTAACTTCCTTTCTTCACACCAATTAGGAAGCTGCTTCTTACCTGCCATTTGCTTCCTCCCCTGCTCTCCCTGTTGATTCCTTCACTCTGAACTGTTGCCTGTTTGCCTCATTTTCACCCTTTTCTATTGCTTCTCCCCCTACC